AATTCAAGAATCTTGGTTAAATGATTTACAGGATGACTGCCTAGTATCACTACGTTATTTCAAAATCTATCTTCAGGATCGACCAAACAATAAAAAGAGGTGTGGCTGTGGTGTAGCTACTTTTGTAAACATAAACTGGTGTCGATCTTCGTTTGTGTGTTTTAATTTTTCAAATGACTTTATCAACTGTCTAACTCTAAGATGTCGTCCAAAACATCTGAATGAATACACATATGTTTATGTTACTAATATCTACGTGACTCCAGATTTCACATCATCTGCACTATCTGTTTTCGATGATGAATTCACTGAGTTCGCTGTTACTGCCTTCAGCGACTCACTTTCAGTTGTATGTGGTGATTTCAATTCATGTGACTGTAGCTTCCTTACGTCACTAAGTCACCAAAACGTAGTAGATTTTCCTACTCGTTTGGATGCTCATTTACACTTCGTTTTCATTAATGATCTGGGTATATATGCGACTCGTAAACGTGCCCCATTGTCTAGCTCGGATCACTGTATAATTCGTGTTCTACTTAAACTATATGGAAAGCATGGGAAGAGTACACTCTTACATCAAACCAAGAAAGTCAAATATAGAAATTACTCAGAAGAAAATATCCGAAATCTGAAAAACATGTTTCATACGACTAATTATTTACAGATGACTCACTGGAAATCACTACTGATGTTATCACTTGTTACCTTGAATTCTGTTCTGATATTTGTTGTCCCACTGAAACCATTTTATAGGTTTTGATCGACTTACATCTACACAACTAAAACGACTACAGAGGATGAAAGAAAGAATGTAGAAGGAGAAGAACTCTAATGAAGTTCGTAAGCTAAATGATCTGATAAACCTAGAGATTAGACGTCTCAACTGTATGTTTACTCAAAAACTCTTGTCTTGCAAAAACTCCCCAAGTATGTGGAAACTCTTTAAAGATCTTACAGGTGACAAACAGTTTAGAAGCGATAACCAGCTGAATGTTTGTGACTTAAATAAGTCTTTTGTACGTCAGCCATCTGATGTGATGCTCCCTTTAATAAATAATAGCTGTGTTCCTACTTTCACTGAAACTGATGTACGAAGATGTCTCCAGTCGCTTAATTCATCTTGATAGTTGGGACCTGATAATATTCCAACACCCATTTTAAAACGTGTGCTGACGTCCTATGTTATCTGTTCACAGCTATCTTTAACAAATCCTTCTTATCTAATCTCATACCAAAAATGTGGAGAAAGATGATGACAATTCCTGTACCCAAGAAAGCATCTGGTGATAAGAATGTAAGATTTAGACCTATTGCAATAACTTCACCCTTCCTCAAAACCATGGAAAACTTATTAATACTTCAACTTCAGCCTGCGATAAAGATCATATTGATCTATATCAGTTTGTTTACCGACACAAAAGAAGCACTTTAGATGCTGTTGCTGTGCTGCATCACAACATAGTGTTCAAGTATGTTCGATGTGCTTTTCTGGACTATACTTCAGCTTTTGATTCTATACCAAGACGTTTACTTAACAAGTTAATCAGCGTCAACACTGACAGCTGGATAACCAACTGGCTATGTTCCTACCTCTCTGGAAGGGAACAGTACACTGTGTTTGGAGGAAAGTGTCCAGAGTCTCTATTGTCTCATAAAAGTGTACCACAAGGAGCTGTTCTTTCACCTCTTCTTTTCTCTTTTTTTCTGCCTGATCTGCCATCTTCCACAGAAAACCTTTATAAAATATGCAAACGATCTCACTGTATGTATGCCTATCTCTTCCTCTTTACATCCCATAGAAATGAATGAGTTTTTGTCTCGTATTGATTGTTGGTCTGTTGGTAATGGTCTCATACTTAATGCGTCTAAATGTCAAGCTGTTAACTTTAGCATGAGACATGAACGGAATATAAACACTATTTTGAGATCCCATAGTGCTTGTACCATCGTAGACTCTTTGATAAACTCAGTGTCGAAGGTCAATTATCTTGGTGTCACCTTTTCCTCTGGTCTGTCTTGGTCTTCCCACGTTTTATTGTTATCAAAGGTTTTCCGTCTGACCTGATAAATAAAGAGATTGTATGCTCTTGGGATTACTCGTCACTTACTCTTACAATTTGTCAATTCTTGCATATTACCTATTATTCTTTACTGCTCTCCATTATTCTTTCCCAGGCTTCTGAGGAAAGACTTTGCTGTGTTGCGGAGGGTGCTAAAGGCAGTTAGCAAGATATGTGGTGAATCTTTCGAGATCATAACTAATATGGTTGTGGATAGACATTTAAAATTATGCAAACTCCTGGCAGGTGTTATTTTATCAGATACTAGCCATCCCCTTCACTCTTATCTTTCTCCTTTTATATCTTCTGGTAGAGCGAGACGTGATTACATTAAAATCCATGCACGTAAGGAAAAGTATAAAAGTTATATAATACCTTACCTAGCAAATATACTCTGTGACGAGCAGGTTGTTAGAGTTAACCTAGTCAATAACCTGCATTCTTAACATGTCTTTAATTTGAAAAGTTGTAAAGTTTTTCGGTTGTTTTCTTTTTTTTTAAAAAAACATTTCTCTTTTTTTGTATTTGTTACTGTTTTTTGTTATTGCGTAAGTAACTCGTTGAAATAACCCGTGCTGAGAATTCTATATTGTACCAAAATATAATATTGAATAAAACCATTAATAATAATGTTCTGGATGATGGGTTTCGTACTTCTTCAAGTTTTCGCCCCATACAATAGAACTGTCTTGACATTTGTATTGAAAATTCTGACCTTGATGTTGCTTGACAGGCAGTTGTTTTCAGTTCCAGATGTTCTTCAGTTGTAGATATGCTGCTCTTGCTGTACTAATCCGCGCTTTCGCATCTGCATCAGATCTACCGTGTTCATCAATGATGCTCCCCAGATATGTAAATGTTTTTGGATCTTCCAAATCTTCTCCGTGAAGTGTGATTCGATTGTTGCATGTTGTGCTGTATCGGAGAATCTTGCTTTTCCCTTTGTGTATGTTAAGACCTACTGCTGATGAGGCTGCTGGTCGTCTCCTCCTACATTTGTTGTTGTGAGTGCGATGGAAGAGCCAGATCATCTGCGAAGTCTAGATCTTCCAGCTGCATCCTATCTGTCCACCGATAATAAATCCATTTACAACAGATTCTAGTAAACGAACAGTCAGATTAGAACAGACAATTTATTGTTTAGTAGAAGATTACAAACTTTTTTGGTAAAATGTAAAACCTATTCATTAAATACTCCATTTGCAAATATTCCATCAGTTGTCCTTTACATTCGCCATATCTGTCGATATAAGTAGAACACACCAAAAGACTATTAAATTAGTAGATCCATTAGGATAGAAACCTACCCGAATAAAATTTGGCCTTACCTTACAATATACGTGTATAAACTTATTGGATTATTTACTTACGCCACGTTAACTCTCGTGGAGGAGATTAGGCAGCCGACCGGCATTTGCCATCTAACTCCGTCCTCGGCAATACTTTCTAGTTGTTTCCGGTCGCTATTTATCCTTTTAATGTCTGCTTCTGATTCTCAACTGGGTATGTTCTTTGGTCTTCCTCTTTTCCGTTTCCCTTAACGATTCGAAGTTAGAGCTTGTCTCATGATGCAGTTTAGTGATTCCCCACATATATGTCCTATCCACACTGTCAAACGCCTTCTCATAGTCAAGGAAGTTGATGTATAGTGACGAAATCCATTCAATTGATTGCTCAACAACGATCAATAGTGTCATTATCTGGTCTGTGCACAACCGATCCTTACGGAATCCGGTCTGTTAATCTCAAAGTTGAGCGTCTACTGAATCTCTCATCTGGTTCAGCAACACTCTGTTAAGAAATATTCTTGCTACCGATAGTAGTGCAGTGCCTCAGTAGTTCTTACATTTCCTCAGATATGACTTTGTTATCTTGATGAGGTATCCTTCCTTACAATCTTTTTATTCCAGTCTGTCTGTGGCACTTGTTCTTCCTCCCAAATCTTCCTGAATAGAACGTAGAGCACCTTTTCAGTTGCCTCTATATGGAACTTCAGCTGGTTTATTGCCAGGTGCTACTGCTTACAAACTCTTGATTTGTCTGATGACCATCCTGATTTTTTCGATCATTGATGGAATGAGATATTATGCGACCTATAACCATTTTGTTGAATGCACATAGATTTGCAAATCTGTCAACATTCTCGTTCCTTTCTCCCAGTCAGTCCATCTCTCCCCATTATATTTTCATACCCAGTGTTGTGAATCCCGACTTTGGCGTTTAGGTCTCCCATCAAGATGGTCAAGTCCTTTCCTGAACACTTCGCTCTGATCGACAAAACCTCTCATAAAATTGATCTTTACCGTCGTCGATGCATTCACTGGTGGGTGCACAACATTGGATAATATTCATTGTGATTCCCTCCTTCTTTGTTTTGAAGGATGCTTTGATGATCATCGGTCCATGAGATTCCTATCCAATAACTGCTTTACGTGGTTATTTGGACAGCATTAGAGCAACTCCCTCAGTGTGTACGGCATTTTCTTCTCCGTGACCCGAGTACAGAAGCATTTCTCCATAATCTATCTTCTGTCCAGATTGAGTTCAATGGGTTTTAATTATTCCGAGCACCACTAAATTGTTTCTCCTCATTCCCGTAACTATTTGGTTGTTCCTCCCAGTCTACAACATGGTCCGGACATTCCATGAAATTATATTAACTGTTGCTCTGGTTAAAAGAGGCACCAGTCTCATGACTTCCGAAGAATCTTGACTTTCAACATGAGGCGTGATAAATTTTCCTTCAACACTGTACTTTGAATTGTCTAAAACAGTTTAGTTCAGCAGTTAGTGTATTTCTATGGACTATTGATTTACCTGCATTTAGAAATCAATTCGCTTTTCGTCAACCTACTTCAGTATCCAGTAGTCTCTTATTGGCATATGTGCACCCTATGAGGATTGCCTCGATATTGCCTTGTCATCCATGATGGATACAATGGAAATTTCTAGTTATTTTTTTCAAGTTAGATGTATCGATTACAGCAAGAATTGGAACTACTAAAAGAAAAAACCAGGATAATTGGATGACAATATAATCGACAGTCATTTTGAAATTACATTAATATCTGTTGCTTATAATCCATTCTACTTATGTAGACGTGAACACAGAAAACTGAGTAATCAGAATATCAGTAGTACGACTGAAAAAGTAGACGTTTTCTTTCCTTATGCATACCTTGAACATAGATTACAAGTGATTCAATATTATACATCATCAATAATATCAAAACATATATAAAACCACGAACATGAATTCGGTTGGGAAAACGTCGAAATTCTAAAAATATTAGAGAACTTCCACATGTATAACATTCAGATCAATTGGCCATCAACAGACATCGACATCAATCCAAGTGAAAGACATAGACTAACTACATGATCAGAGGTCAACCAAGAAAAAAACATATTCAATAGAAATGCAAGAATAAATGAAGACGAAATGACCCATAAAGATAATCAATCATAAACCACACAATTAAAAGCTTGTGGAATAACTGAATAATTCACAACCACATAATACAGCAGCAGATAATGTTGTCCAGAAGGACAACTGATAAATCTTCACAATTAAACCATATAGATTAGAGAAAATATCAATAAAAGCAACCAGCTAAATTGTAGATGTTTGACATCAGTTATAATAAATCTGTTTGTTTATTAACTTCTATATTTATTCTAAGCATATTGAATTAATATATTCATATAATTATCAACTTTAGTGAATACTAAACATATAAATAGTGGTAATTTTAAATCAGATCCAATTATTGCAATAAGAATTAACAATAATAATAATAATAACCAAAAACATAATCATCAAGATCTTTTGGAAAAAAAATCACTGTTACAGAAAGTGAAAAGTAGATATTGGCGTTGAAAATCGGAATACACAAAATATACTACTGAAATGTAAATAAGTAGATAAACATAAAACTATTGTTTTTACAAAATTATATCATGTAGAATGATCTCACACAAGAGATATGTATAGGTATGCATGTAATCTCATGCCTGCCTTTCTCCATGTGTGTTCACAGGAGAATAATTAACAAGTGTAGTAACATACACATAACGAACTATTCCAAAAAAAGAAGAAACTAAAACGTTGATCATCAGATCAAGATAATAATATTTATGTACGTGAACAATTGAGCGTTATGTAAATCAAGTGAACATAGAAAAGAAAATTGAATGACAACAAAATCATTAATGAAAACGAAATAGTTAAGGAGAATAAGAAGTGATTTTGTTGATATAGTTGGAATTGTTGCGAATAATTTTTGTGGTTGTGTATAGAAAAAACAGAGCGGGTGAGGGGGCATAGAGATAGTTATATAAATCGATTAATGTAATCATTCCAAAAAGCGTATACTCATCTTTTGTTCAATATCCACATTATCAAATGCCTATACCAGAGCATTAATAAAATAAGAATAAAAAATGAGGGTATAACTTTTCAGAAATTAGAATTATATTACTAAAATCTTCAAGGAGAATTACCAATGATTATGGTTCAATATGTTAAAAAAACTATGTCAAATAATTCATTACAAGATACTCAAACTCCTTGATCGTATTCGTTTGTCCAATCGTACAAATAGTGTAATATATTTCCTTATGTCATACAGGTTTTAATATGGATGGTTAATTTAATGATTTTCGGCTTATAGTCTATGACAGTAGTAATTACTCGAAAAATTCGAATGGAACATCATTACAAAAGTTTGTATGCTATACTCTTGTTTTTACGCCCTCAAATGCCATGGTAAGGCAGACGGTGAGAACAGTCAGCTCTCTCTCTCTTTCTCGAAATGCTCTTACATGGCCACGTACATACAACCATTGACAGGGAAGTACTAATCACAGTCTTCTTACGGGGGGTGTTTTCTTACGAAATTGAGAGGACGAAAAGCGAATGTCCGGCGCTTTACCCGGGTTAGTGGACACAGAGTTCATCTAGGGGAGTTGAAAAACCATGATTTCAAAACAACGGTGCACATGGGCTCCAGGATCCTGAAGGAACAAATGGCGTATGAACCAATTGTTGGTGACCGGTTGCCATGGGACTGAGTCCCCTGATGTTGCTCCACTGCCTTGTGGATCAGAACTTTAAGTCGAAGGCTCCGGGTGTGGCCCCCAAAGAAAACCACCTGTTTCGGTTTAAGCAACCAGGGAGTATCCCAGTCCTCAAACAAATCGAATGATTTATATGGAGCACATCTACTTGGTATCTGCTTGTACCAATGTTTATGGGTTTAAATAAATAATAAACTGTTTTTTTAGTTGAAAAAAACGATAGTTGATAATAATGATATGGATGTATTAAACACAATATATGATTTTGATCGAGTTTTGTTCTCTGAGCTGAATGGTTTAGTCATGGTACCTACCTGAAGTTTGTGGTGATGATGTCGTTCATAAGAACGGTGAAAGCTCTACGACTAAACCATGCAGCTCAGAGAACAAAATTCCATCAAAATCATCCAACTGATCTACAAATCTTCCCCAGCATCTCACAATATAAGATTAAAGAAGCGAATGCAATCAAAAATATTCACGGATAAGAATGAATAACAGCTAATGATTGTCGAAAAACTTTTGAAGTTAAAAATACAGATCAACTTAATGGTTTAAATGTTAAACATTTACAACGAAACCTAAAGGTTTTGGATTCAACTTCTAGTGAAGTTGTGGATAAGTACTTCTGAGGAGTTCTATACTAAGATGAAACAGATATAAGTGCTTTCCCAGTTTTCGATAATTGCTTAAGGTCAAATCGTAATGTTAAACTATGAAAAACTTGTTTAAATGCTCACAAGTTCAGTTTGGTGATTAAAAATCTCGTCTTTCAACTAATAGAACACATTTCCATGTATCGCATCATCTAATTCGATTTTGATAGTTAGATAATATTACTAGAACCTGGGACACACAATATGATTTAAAGCAAATAATGAATAAAGAAATACCTGATAAAATAATATTACTTATCTCACACATAAACATACAAAGGCAGGTTTAAAGAACAATTATGGATAATGTAAGAATTGTTTGATATGATCAAATATTTTGGATAAAAAAACTAATAATCAGCTGATAATTAAGCTGAAATTGGTAATGAGTAGGTGGAACATAAAATCCAATGTTTGAAGAATACCATATATTTATACCATAGAATCGATACCTTACATACTTAGTATATTTATTTGGGTTTGAGTCATATTTTAAGTATGAAGGCTGATGACAGTACCTGATTACCCAAACTGGTGTAGGTGGAGTGGGGCTTAGATCTCAATCATGACAAACTGACATCAGCTATAATGCTAAGACTATTTAGCCAAATAGATGAATGAACTTTGTGCCATATTCCAAGATCTGTTATCTTATACCTGATGGGTTCGTCAATAAATTATAGTCGCCAAATAATGATAAAAATTCGAATGATATATTCATTGATAAAACTACATCCACAGGAACATATATATAAGAAATAAAACATACTTGTACAAATTCCGCATACGATATATAGCAATCACCATCAAGATCCGCTTCAGCCATCGTTCGTTCACCGATATTATTGATCTGAAATTGATTGATTTCTCATGAAATTAACATATATGGCTATACATCTTAAATTATATAAATAACCGGTACTATCTTAACTAATCATAGGAGTTACATCATTGTTATTTTTGTCAACAGATTCAGCATTATATTCACTTGATGATGTTTACTTGTATCTTCCTATTGTTAGTTAGGAAGGCACTTGATCAGTTTCTTGTTAGCATTTGTGCGGACTACCTCGATATTGCCTGAAGTCACAAGCTTTATAAACAAAGATGGATAGTGGCTAGCAGTGGAATCCAGGACGCGTGTTTCGTCCTATTTGGGAACCTTCAGCCTGGATATACCTGCATCTGAGAGTTGATGTTCACTCAGGAACTCGAACCCAGATGTATAGTGGCTAGCACTATCAATATTTGCCTATAAAGCTTGTGAATTACGGCTGTATCAAGACAATCCGCACAGGATGCACATATGCCAACAAAAGACTGATCAATTGCGGTCCTAAATAACAATAGGAAGATACAAACAGGCTACATTTAGTGAATATAACTTCACCCTATTGCACAGGCGGGTGGCTATCAGGACTCAGTAGCTATGTGGATAACGCTATGACATTTGAAGCAAATAGTAATGGATTCGAGTCTCAGAGTGAACATTAACTCTAAGATTCAGGTACATCCAACTGACAAGTCCCAAATAGAAAAAAATGTATATTCTGGATACCACTGATAGCCACTATCGATCTTTGCTTATAAATTCAAATAACAAAACATTTTCTATATGAAATTTTTACCTGAACAGATCACATTATCATATTTTATGATAATACAATATACCCCTTTTATTTCAAATTTGATAATTATTTTTGATATAACATTCTTTCTATGAAATTTTATATGAATTTTAGTTTAGGGTAATACACAGCATGTGTTTTATATTAGTTATAATGTAAAAATCTGGGGTTTGTTTTTATTTTTGTAAGTATGTGTGTATATTTTCTGTGAATAACCATGAAATTTTATTTATCTGAACACATAAATATTGGTACAAAGAGAGTATCGAATACATATGCACCATACAAGTCAATGGATTTGTGTATGAGATGTGATACTGCCCGGTTGCTCAAACCGAAGTGGCTTTTTTTAGGGGGTCACATCCAGAGCCTTCGAACTAAGGGTCTGATCCATAAGGCAGTGGAGCAACGTCAGGAGATGCAGTCTCATGGTAGCCAGTACTCTAGTGTGTTTAAATAACAGCAAACTATTAATGTTTTTGAAGAGGTTTGTATTTTTCCATTATTAATATTCAGAACTAATATTCGACTAGTCTCTATTGGCATATATGTACCTAAGTAGGATCTCAAGATGTTGCATGTATTTATACGTTTTATTGCGATTTTCGTATTTCAGCTACCATAGGAATCTAGGTCGTGTGTTTCGCTTTGGTTGAATGTTATCATATCTGAACTTCAGTGTTGATTTTCGCACTAATACTCACACTGTTGTGATTGTTAGGTCCTCAGAAACCACTTGGTAAACGTTTCCTTTTGGTTATTTTATTATGAAAATGTGAATTTTTCGTTTTCGCGACAAAGATGCTCATTTTTACCTTCAGTTTGTATTTTTCAAGCGGGAGGGCCTTAAATGTGATAGATTTATTTTCGCTTTCAGTACGCTATTTTGTGACGCTTTTCAAGGACATTACGCATAAGTTATATGCTTATTTGTCCGTGCTTCCCGCTGCTTGTAGAATATTTATATTCCCTGGCTGAATCTGGTCTTCGCCATCTAGTTAGCAGGGATGGGACGTGGTAGAATAGCTTAGATTGTCCTGTTGTTGTGTTGCTGACTTTCGTTCCGTTCGTCAGTTCCAGGTGATATCGTTATCTCTTCAAACATAGCATGAAACAAGTGCTCCTTGCTTCAAATGGCAACGAGTTGTCTACTCATTAAGCTACGAAATTCAGACAGACATTCATTCACTCAACATGACCATAATCTAACAGAGACTGGTAACATTCAGTCCTGAATATAAAGAACAATAAAATATAAACCCCTACAAGTAATAATAATAGTAAGTACCACACTCTTTAATTTTTAAATACAGTGATCTTGAGTGCTGTTAGAGGTATGAGGGCAGTTATCACTTCCCTGTTACCCACACCATAGAAGGAATTTTTTGGACGTACCTAAAAAGGAAATTGGGCCAAAGGTAGCGTGCCCACAGTGTCCAAAGGACAACTGCATGAAGGCGGTCGCACACGATCTTTTTGTGAGTAATTTTCGTGTTATCTCCGTACTTGTTGAGACCTTACCGTAGAAGACGGCAATCCGTGTGATAAGGCGAGGTGTACATTTTTAAGGCCGATTTTTTCCAACCCCATGCTTCGTTTATGGGAAGGCAGCATCGCTGTTATGCTGACTGTCAGAAGAAAATACCTTACTGCCATCACACCTCTGTACAGTCAGCAGTACGACTTCACCTTCGGACCTTGGGTTTGCTACTGCTCTTCAAGCAACCCGTTTGAGATGGTAGGACTTTGAGAAACGATTATTCCAACCAGTTTAGCTCGATTGGTTTATTGCGACAACCAAGTACGACCACCACATCAAGATAGCAACAACGGTAGCAACAACAAAAAACTTAATATAAAATTACACAAACCTGTTCAACAGTAATATTAGCACCGACCATCATTTGTAACATTCCCAATAATTCATTTCTTGATATTTTACCATCCATATCTAAATCATACATACCGAACAGAAAGCGTAATTTTGCATCACGATTATTAAATTGAGTAGATTGTTGTGGTCGAACTTTACGAAATCTTGCTAGTTTACGTACAAATTGACGAAAATTCAATTCACCTTGACTGTATTATTATATACATGTATAGATTTTTTATTTTAACCAAGTAAACAAACAAACAAACAAAAGTTTAATTCTTTACAACAACAAGAAAAACAAGCACAAAATAGAGAAAAATTAATAACAAAATAAAAACAAAACATAAATATGTTCAATATTCAATTTATCATTATACAAATTCATTATTGTTCATTGTTCATATTGTACATATCTAATCATGAATGATAATTGTATTTAAAATTTAAATCAGATATCCATGTATATCAATATACTGTATGGTTTGACTGCAATGAAACACAGATACAATTGTTCTATGTATCAATTGTGTACAAAAGCCTCATTTGCATAGAAACTTTAATTATTAAAGTTGAAAAAATCAGAACTACTGAACGAAAAATAAACCCCTGTAGAATAATATCGAGAAATGAAATAATCAAGTTTTTTTTTATTTATTTAAATAGTTATGACTTTGATTATGTGTCATGGTACTATCGAGGATGGAGAGAGTCAGCTCTTTCTCTCTCTCGAAATGCTCTTATATAGCCACGTGTATACAACCACTAACAGAGAAGTTCTACTCAATGCCTTTTCGTGGCATTACTGTTCTTTACGAAATTAAGAGGAAGAAAAGCGAATGTTCGGTGTTTTAACCGGGTTGGTGGACACTGAGAGTCCATGTAGGGGAGTTGGAAAACTCTGATTCCAAACCAATGGTACACATGGTTGGTCACTGGCTACCATAAGACTGCATCTCCTTATGTTGCTCCTCTGCCTTATGGATCAAACCTTTAGATCGAAGTCTCGGGGAGTGGCCTCCTCAGAAAACTACCTGCTTCAGTTTGGGCACCCGGGCAGTATCATAGCCCACAGACAAATCAATTGACTTGTGTGGTGCATATGTATTCGGTGCTCCATTGTACCAAGATTTTTGTTCATATAAATAAATAAATAAGTAAATAAATAAATAAACCTGATTCTAATCATGTCAATTTATTGTGGGAAGTGAAATCAAGTTGACCAGTTATATCATTGGGACCATAAATCGACTTTGATAACGATAATCATGTTGACGGTCGTAGGAACTAACCCAAACTATTCATTAAAGTAATTGATACAAGTCTTCGAAAGTACAGAATTCACTTAACTACAGTATCAACACCGAATTATTTTACATTAATTCATTTTCCAGGTAAATAGATATGAACTACACCCTAGGTAAGGACATCAATGATACTATCACACTGCCGAAACCGAATCTGGGAAATGAGTGACTGAAAGTCGAACGCCTCATTCACTAAGCCACCGCTCCTCATTGAGAGAATACGATGAACCAGAAAACTGCTATACACAAGGAGGAACTGGAAAATCCGCTTAGAACTGCTGCGCAGTAAACACGTTCTTTTGTTGATAGACAGATATCTCACCTACGCCATAAATGACGCAAGTCGGCAAAAGCTAGTCGAGCCTTCTGTATCCGTGATGAGATTTCGTCACACACCAGACCACAAGGGCTGATGAGACTTCCAAGATAAGTGCAGCAGTCGACACACTCAACTACTCTACTCCCTACCATTAGTTCATGTGTCGGTGCAACCCAATCCTGAAGTAACATTTTGCATTTCGAGGGGGAGAATTGCAGCCCGAACATGCTTGCATTATTGCTTAGAGTGGTCAGAAGACTCTGCATTTTGTCAGCGTCTTCACCAAATAGAACTATGTCATCGACATATTCTAGGTCAGAAATTGAATCTCCTGGTAGAAGTTCAAACCCTGGAAATTTAGATGAGGAAAGTGTTATCTCTAAAAGCACATCAACGACAAAGTTAAACAAAAATGGAGAGAGTAGACAGCCCTGACGAACGCCACTTGAGGTAATCAATTCTGATGACAGTTCACCATAAGCTCTGACTCAACCAGTTGTGTTCGAGTAGAGAGCCTGAATAAGGTTAATGTACTTCTTTGGTACTCCTTTCAGTGACAAACACTGCCATAGAACCTCATGGTCAACAGAGTCGAATGCTGCCTTAAGGTTGAGAAATACTACGATTATAGGGTGTCTGAATGTGTGTCTGTGTTCTAGAACCTGACGTAGTGTGAATATCTGATCTATACAACCACGTCCAGGTCGAAAACCAGCCTGATTTTCTCTAGTCTGTTCTTCACGAGCTTTAGTTAGGCGTCGAAGTATTATTGACGCTAATATTTTAGACACTATATTAGTCAAACTGATTCCTCTGTGATTGCCAGAAGAGGACTTTTGTCTCTTTTTATAGACTGGCACAACCAGTGATTGAGACCAGTCAGATGGGATTACGTCTAGTTCGCAAATTCTACCTAAGAGATCAGTTAATCTTACTGCTAATACTGGACCACCGCCCTTAAAAATCTCAGGAGTAAACCTGTCAGGACCTGCTGCTCTCCCTCGCTTCAGGCTTCCTATAGCTTTTTCAACTTCGTAAAAAATCGGAGGACCTACACTAACTTGCCATTCAGGTTGACTAGAGATTGTGGGAAATCGAAGTGTGGTTGAAGGCCAGTTGAACTGATCCCTGAAGTGTTCTGCCCATCGATCCAATCTCCAGGATTGAGAATGTTATTTATTATTTATTTGAACACATAAATATTGGTACAAGAGAGCGCCAATATATATGCGCCACACAAAACAATGAAAATTCGAAGAGAGATAGAAAAAAAAACTAAGGAGCGCAGAAGAAAAAGAGAACGATAACGAAGAGATTGGTGTAAGGTATTGTGGTAGTAACGAGGGAACGGAAAGGTACAATCAGAAGAAATCTTTCAAGTAAGGGAGACACAACCACTTTTTATGAAGAAAGTAAAAGAAGGTTACAGCAGGATCGCCACTGGCTTCTATTCTGAGCCATATCTGATAACGTCTCTAGCCACTGTGTAGCACCATCTCTCAGACCCCAACCAGGGAGTCGTGAAGGACCGACAGAAGCCAGTCCTTTGCAGCTTTCTTTCATACCACGACACCATGTCATGCACTGACCACCTCTCCGCTTTTTCCAACCAGTCCCAGAGTCGGAAAATAATGCACGACGTGGAATTCCCTGCGACGACATTCGTAGAACATGTCCAAGCCACCGAAGTCGATGTTTCAAGATTGTAGCACCAACTGGATTATCGTCTCTGCGCCCGAACACACGGTGCCGAACCTCTGCATTACTAACATGATGTTGCCACTGGATGTCAGCAACCCTTTGGAGACAAAGATGATCAAACAAAGAGAGTCGTCTAACACCCTCAACTCGGAGGTCGGGTTTCACAAACATAGAGCAAAACTGCTCTCATCGACGCGTTGTAGATACGGCCTTTTACAGCCAGACTGACATCACGAAGGCGCCAAAGATGGCCCAGACTGGCATGAGCTGCTCTGGCTTTCACTATACGTGCATTGATCTCATCACTCACACCCCCACCAGCACTTATGCAGCTACCCAGATACACGAACTTCTCGACTACGTCTATCTGCTCACCATCCAGGGTGAGTACAGGATTGGAATCCTGCCAGTCTTGTAGAAGTACTTTGCACTTCGAAGGTGCAAAGCACATACCATACCTACGGACACTGATTGCCAACTGATTAAGTGCGGATTGCATGCCTTGGGCATTATCGCACAGTAAGACAATATCGTCCGCATACTCAAGGTCGAGAAGTCTTTCTCCAGGCAACAGATCCACACCACCATTACTTACATTCATCAGAGCTGTTTCCAGAATGTCATCGATGGCAAAGTTGAAGAGGAATGGTGAGATTGGGCAACCCTGCCTAACCCCATTGCTCGAATAGAACAATGGAGAGAGGTGGTTGTATGCCCTCACTCTGCCTGAGGTGTTTTTATATAGGGCCTTTAGGATGTTTATAAACTTCTCAGGCACATTCTTCTTCAATAGACAATCCCAGAGAACAGTCCTATCCAACGAATCGAAGACAGCCCTGATGTCGAGAAACACTACGATTGTTGGCCTTTGATAAGTATGGCGGTGTTCTAACATTTGGCGGAGGGTGAAGATATGATCAATACATCCTCGACCAGAACGAAACCCAGCCTGTTCCTCGCGAGTCAATCTTTCTCGGGTTTTGAACAACCTACGAAGTGTGACGGAAGCCAATAGCTTCGACGCAATCGGACGGAGACTTATCCCCCGATAGTTGTTGCAGGAACGACGTACGTATAATGTATATGTCCATCTTTTTCTGAGACTGCTTCGCTAACAGTCGGGTTCCTAGTACCGGTTTCCGTAACAAGTCTGAATAATTGTCTGCTATTACCTATTGTCGCTGCCTTTTCCATCTCTCTTGCTTTCGTTACTCACTACTGTTCGCGATCATTACGTAGGCTTCTTGTCAGCTTGCGCTTAAACTGACTCTGATCTTCGTTATTTTCAGAACCAGATGGAATGAGTTTTCGAGCATCTATCAGTGCGGTAGATGCTGCTGAGATCCAGTGTTTCTCCCCAACCTTGTGGTTTACCGTACTAGCAGATATCACTGCTGTTTCCACAGCTTTTCCGATGTCATTCCACGCTGCCTCGGGGTGGGCACCACATGCATGGCTGCCTAACTGTTTTTCTAGTTGTTCCTGAAATATACTCTTAGCTTGACTATCACTAAGTAGGACCCTAAGAGGTTTCCTTGCAGCGTCTTTCCTACGTCCAGTAAAACGCAGACAAATGTGCGCTCGCACTAGAGCATTATCTGAATCTAAGCATGTGCTCAAGAATGAGCGACAGTCTTCTATCGAGCCCCTCCATCGGTGGCTGATAGCGATGTGATCTATTTGGGTCCAACGTTGGGACGAATTAGGGGGTTGCCATGTCAAAAGATGTTTTTCCTTATGCTTAAAATTAGTATTTGCAAGGAACAGAAGGTTATTTGAGCATAGCTGCAGCAGACGATAGCCATTATCTGTTCTTTGAGGCACAACGCTATAAGACCCACCCAGGTGTCTTTCCCTTTTGCTTAGTTTACCTACTTGAGCATTAAAGTCATCAACCACTTTTGCTATATCAAAGCACCTAACTTTTCGGAGAAGGTTGGGAAGCAGTCAGTGGGGGAATAAGCACAGACGATGAAGAGGCATGAGAAGTTCACTTTCTATTAATTCAGTGAAAAATTCATTCTGTATCCCGACTATTTAAGTTACTTATGGTATTTATTGACGATCGGTCATATACCAGTGAAATATGTACATAAAAAAGTGTATTTAGTTAATAGATCGTATTCATACATTGAGAGAGTGAATAAAATTTCCATATGCCATTAATTCTGCCCTCTTTTTAAGTTTTGCAAGTCTCAGTTTTCTCACTTGTTTCAGTTTTTCATTTACACTTGAACCACTGAGTTGGAGAAATATAATGGTCTCCAACTTCATCCAATCAGCTTATGATATATAGGTTTTACTCTCCGTATGACTGAACTTAACTGTACAAGGCTGACCATTATAATTTCGAGTAAGGATATTTTCCCCATTAGTATTCAACATCATACCGCAGGAGTTAACTCTTATGATCGCACTATTCCATTCAGTATTTACGTTTCATCACCTGGATGCATCCACTTATCTCTACATTGTAGTTTAAATTGAGAAAAAAACTCAGTAGTTATTTGTTAAAACACATACTGACTTAGTGGTGTAGGAAATCCATAAGTTAATATAAATTAATCAAATCCACTTCTTGTTTATCAGCAATAGGGAAACAAAAACCTTAACACATAATAACTTATCATTTCACACTTATTTTCAAAAATAACTTATGTTCTACTAAGTTTATTTGCTACTATTATCAATCTCATCCTTTTGGTTAATTTACGTTGACAAACAGTTCAAGTATAAATTCGAAAAAGTGAGTAACACATATTTAAAACACGTTTAAGTCAATCAATATTTTCAGGCCTCTTGATTGATTTGCCATTCTTACTTACTATCTTATGAATAGCCTCATCATTAATCCCAGTGTGATTACATCAACATGTGCGAACGAGGTATTGAAAAAAATCCTACGGATTAAGTGTTTGCGACCCGATTCCATTCCTCAATGGGTAAAAATGGATATATTAAATACATTATAGTTGGTGCAAACATATCAGAAGTTGAAAATTAACAACCCATCAAAAATTCAAGTGGTTAGTTGATGCATTCGACAAATTCACCCCATACACAATGAGAGACCTGGAAATGATACAGATTCATAGTGATAGAAATACAACTATTAATTCTTATTACTATGTTTATAGATAATAAGTATTAAAAAATATGTTAGTTTACCTATCTTTAAAAAATTCATTCACGATTCGATCGCCAAGTGGATTAATGGCTAATTCTGGAATTAACAGAAAATCATGACGCCTGAAATATCATAAGAAACAGGGTAAGTGAATGAAATAAATACAGAGAGGTGCGTTCAGAGCAACTATGTTTCACGTACATTAAAATATTTAATGCCCAACTTAAATGTAACTTACTAACCGACCAACCAACCGTAGCTGTAACCATTACATGGTACTCACAACTACATAACATGATAGCCTAATCGATGCATACTGGTTGAGAAACTTGTAAGATCTTACAAAGTCAGGTATATCGAATGTAGAGCAGCAAAATCAATGTCCAGAAACCAAGTTGCACAGCCAACTGTACTAGGCTGTGACGGCAGTACGGGATTCCCATCAAACAAACAGCCTTTCAGGCGGTGCTTTTTTACCACAACAGACAAAAGGTAACTAAGCTCTAGTCTGAAGCATGTTGGTAGATGCAGACTACTTGGTTGAGGTCCGTATGACTATCGTAACCAATGGTTGGAGACACTAAGTGATATGGCTTGAAATCGATCACAACGGCGTCGGTGTATACGCTCTCTGTCTATCCTTAAACTATGAGATTAAAATCGCTTCATTTCTTTCTACAAACTAATTCTTTCTTCCCGTACTATATCCTTATACGCAATCATGCTTTTATATATTACCACCACCGAATTAACTACTACGAATTCAGTGTTCATCTTGTTGTGCTAATGAGGTATGACAACTTGGACGGATGCACATATGTGCCTGGTCCTACGTTATAGTTGTCTGTTTGATTTAAGGTCAATCCAAGAAATACGTCTTTGTCCCGCGAACTGCTGTCACTAATGGTAAGATCTAAAAATCATGGGACTAACTTAAATAATATTCGAAAAAAGGCCGCATATAACAGGGCTTTGGCAGTTATCTGTCAAAATTTGCGACCGTGCTCACAGGCGGCCAAAAACACGACTACCCCAGTATCCTTTTCAGATCCATCAAGAAGTTTCCTTTCACGTTGTAGTAATCATAACCTCCCTTTATACCCTTAACAGTACTTAAGATCACCCCTTCATCACATGCTACCTTAACAACCAATAAACATGTATTCATATCAACTGGAGTTGCTTTGAGTTAAGAGGAATGGCATTACGGTCAATAGATGGAAACTTATAAGGTTGCTTTTTAGTCCCTAAAACCAAACATTTTTAAAACCTAGAACAATTTGTTAGTCGGTTATGGATTTTGCATAAATCTTTGTCTTATTGTTTCACGACGGAATGTTCTATTAAAAACCATCTATTTCACAACCCGCTTTTTCAGTATTTAGGTGAAAAGTTGGTTATTATGTTGAGATCTGAACGAAATCTCCCTCAGACAGGAACATTATGTTGAAAAAGACTTTTTCCAAACTAAGTCAAATATAAGTTAACTGGGAGTATTTTAGTCACATTTTATTACTAAACACAACTTCAAACCAATGGTAAGTCAAACTAACCTCAAGTACCCGGCGTTCGTCTTGTCCAAAGCCAAATATCTGTTGTACAATCGATAAATCTGTTTTGGAGAAACTTATGGAAAGTGTTGAATGATGTATATCAAACCTACACCCAGTTTCTTCTGCGATTTCCTCAACCTCGGACTGATCAAGTATATTCGAAGTACTTGCCCCCATTGACCTTCCACGAAGGCCGTCCGAAAGACGTCATTTAAAAGAACCGGTCTTCTGTGATGAAGATAGTAAGTCGCTAAACCTGTGTTAATCCTTTCAGCTTGTTTTCCAGAGAATTTCCATCCTCACTTGAAAAATATCCACTGACAGGACCAATATCATTTATTCACGTAAGATGTTCCAGTCATTAAATTATATTACCAGTGAAATGTAACTGTGCCCTAGCCATGTCATCCGGCAGTTGGATCACTGAGTATCAAACGGTTCACAGATCCTCATCAAAATTTAGGGAAAGGAGCGCACACCGGTTAATTGCACTCCGTGGACTGGCCCATCCTATGGTGGTCATACTGCTCCTCGTAACTAATCTTACTAGTATATTTTTTGTATATTATACATACATATTTTTTCTTGTTCAGTCACCAAGGTAACCATGCCATCTGAATGTGACGAAATGTCAATCTCCGTTAGGTGACGACTGTGAGGTGTGACTTCGATATTAGCTGGTTGGTCGCGTCATTCCTGTTAGCTCGGTTACAAACTTAATCTTTCTACACAGATCATCTACGAAAGATGGATGGAACACTTCGTGAAAATCTTGAATAGACCAGCACCATTGTATCCATCAGACATCGAAACAAAACACATGAAATTTCTTATAGATGACACCTTTTCGGTGTGTGTTACTGAGGTCTATAGGCGTTAGTAGTATGTATCATCAATAGAATGTGAAATACCTTGCGGCAGAAGGTTAAGAATATCAACGAAAAAAAACGAGAACAGAAAATGATTGCTGTGAAAATAAAAGAACAGTCAAGCTTGAGACAATTGATTGGCATTTTGCAAAGGATGTGTTTGTTGTATGGTTCTCGGATTTTACTAAGACGTTCTGTAGTAATGTGTTCAAATATAATCGGTTATCCTCACATCCACTCTCCTTCACTACAACTCCACAAACGATTCAGTGAATCAGAATGGTCGTCATACAAATCAACAGTGGGGAGGCAGTAAGACATGGTGAAAAACCAACTGGAGCAACGACGTCACACATATAAGTGTCTGCTAACATACACCACATTCTATTCAGGAAGATTTTTTTCACTGAAGAAAAATCAATTGAATGGATCTCATCACTACACATCAACTTCCTTGATCATAAGAAAGCACTTAAATGTATGGATAATAAGACATTATGGAAACCTCAGAAGATCAACATTATCCGGAATTCATATGACGAAATGCTTTGTCAAATCATGTGTGGAAGACAGCTGACAGGTGAATTCCAAGTGAAGAAATAATTCAGGGAAAGCTGTTTACTCTACCCCTTTCTCTTTACTCTGGTGGACTACTGGATCATGGAGACCTCCACATCTGAGGATAAGTACGGAATACAATGGACAGCTTTCATACAACTAGAAGATTTGGACTTCACAACTGACCTGACTCTTCTGTAGCGTGGGGTCGAGTCGCGATTGACTATGAACACCGCTTCCAAAAAGCTCGTTCCAATTGACTCCATAAAAACCCCGAGAAGCCAAATATCAGAAGGCAGAAAATGGACCAAGTCAAGATTTATTCATTGGCGATCTCGTGGTATCGAAAGGATACCGAGATCGTGCCAGGATACAAGCTTGGTTACAGAATGTAACCGAATTCGCGCGAAATTACAATCGAAGTGTAAGAACAAGAATGGAAGCCCAATATAGCTGTCATTAGCACAGTCAAACAAAAGCACATTAAAACAAACACTGGTACAACTGTTTATAATAATTGTTTTTTATTATATCAGTCGTGTTCTCGTGACAAATGTAAGTCACTACACTTCTATCCCATACACACGAACTAAGGCAGATGAAAACAACAAATTTAATAGAAGCCTCTGCATCATTAAAACTCAAAATACACAAGGCAAAAAGCAACATCCTTAAATACAAAACAGAATACCAATTTATTCTCACTTGATGGAGAAACTCTAGAAGTGGAATCTCTCATGTACCTGTCTTGGCAGCATAATCGATGAACAAGGAGGATCAGATGCAAACGTAAAGGCGAGGATTGGTAAAACAAATAAAGCATTTATACAGTTGAACAACATATTGAACTCAAAACAACTGTCAGTCAACCAATATCAAAGCCACAGTCTTTAATACGAACGTCAAGCCAGTTCTGCTGTATGGAAATAAAACTTCATGAACTACCACAATCATCATCAAAGTGGTACAAGTATTTTGAAACAATTGTCTACTCAAGAAACCCTATTTCCGTTGGTCGGATACAATCAGCATCCGTATACTGTGGGAAATTAGTAAAAGACGTTGGAAGTGGATAGGACATACATTGAGGAAATCCTCAAACTGCGTCACGAGGCAAGCGCTAATTGGAATCCCGTAGGGAAATGTTAAAGCGAAGGACCAATGTGTACATTGTGTCGAGAATTGGAAGCGGATAAGAAAAGGTTGAACAGCAACTCGAAACAACAGCAAAGGATTTTCCAGGACAGCGTTGGCTGGAGAATAGTGGTGGCCTATACACCTCCATGAGGGGTAACATGCGTAAGTAATAAAATGTAAGTAAGTGTGACCAAACATTGTGGCCTGTCGTTAAGGGTTTAATATTCATTACTAATATTCATCAATAACGATCATTTTGACAATATAACAGGTGTGTTTACCAATCCAATTTATATAAAATTTTCAAATACTACTAACAATTACAAAAAGCGACGACACTTTCTTCATTATCTTTCTTTCTATGTACTATGAATATATATGGATTACATTTACTTAAATTTTAGTATTGAGAAATTAATGTGAGTAGTTTTGATTCATCAGTTTCATTGACAGATGAACGTTTTTATTTAAAAAGCCATTTATCAGCTTATTATTCTCAACCATAGACATCATTAAATGAGTTTGAAGAGTCATTGATATCTGCAGTCAGTTCGTAATGGCTGTCTTGGGAAATAAAACTAGGGACATTTGGAAATAATTCATTTTCAGAGCTCTTCTAATAGCAAAGAAAATAAACAATTCCGAGCAACGGAGTCTCCAAAAACCTACAAAGTTATCAAACCAGGCGTTTCACTATACTGTGTTCTGGTGTCATATTCTTATGTACAAGGTTTGATATTTCTAGGGGATAAAGACACATAAAGCTCAACTCTATTACCTACAGTGCTAGTGCGGCCATTAAAGGCATTTAGTTAGTGAAGGTCTACGAAAATCTATTATACTTGATTGATTATCATATATTGGCACTCTGATTTTGGGGATTTTTGACTTTAAGGCTCTTTTACTACTATGTATACAGTGAGTAAGAGACGGAAAAATTTCAATCACTGCATGATTAGGATGACTTTTATTGATAAATGTGTCGCTTAAAAGGGAGCCAGTTATTATATTCGAAGATTAAGTTTTGTGTAACTTTCGGGAACTATTTGTAAACTGTTACTATATACGTATTCTTATTGCATAACTAGTAAGTAACTAGATCATACATATTTATAAGCTTTCAGTTGGCTAATGACTATTATTATACGATTTAATACATTTAATTTATTACCAAGCTGTCAGTAACAGTCTCCTACACTCACAGTCACTTTTTATGGTGTGATGCGGTCTGATTTGTTTGTCTATAAACTTCTTATGTCCGAAATATATTATTCGTACAGTAGAGAGTGTTTGTAGAATCAATGGACAGAGCTAGGCGAAAAGGACAAATCAGGACTCACAATTGACGCAAGACTGTTAGTACTGGTTGAAGTGTCATTGGTTTAGCATAAAAAATTTTGATATATTCGGCATTATGGCTTGCGGTTTTGTATAATATTTGAATTAATTGAATTATAGCACGAACTAAGAGTCCAAGAAATAACGCAATTGAATTAAGAAGTAAGACACAAGCACAAACGAATGTATTGTATTTGGAATTCGAAATCGTTCAATCAACAAGTACAAAGGTATCATTAGTCAATTCAAACACAACATTTTGTCACATGATAATTGACAGGGACAAATTACATAACACCAGTCTTTAACAAATCGGCCTCCCTAAGTTTTCAGATTGATGAATTTTGGTTGCTATGTTTAAGTTGTCTCACTGTTCCTTGGTTATAGAATTTTATAGCCAGGTAAGTTATCAGACGCGGTAGGATAGAAACCAAAATCGTTTACAGCACATCCATTCCATAAATTTGTAGTGTGACGTCGAATCGCGGTTGAATGTGATCACCACTACAAGAAGACTACGTGCCAGTCAACCGATAAGATCCCCCAAATATCAGAAGGTGATTGATGGCTGTAGTCGAGATGTATTTGCTGGTGATCTCGTGGTATCGAAAGAATACCGAGATTGTGCCAAGTTACAAGTGTGGTTACTGGGCGTAACCGAATTCGTGTAAGGTCACAATCAACGGAAGAATGTATGTTCTTATTACAGTTAAACAAATAAGTACGGCAAAACAATCATTGGTACAATTGGTTATAATAATAATTGTTTCCATAACACCAATCGCGTTCTCTTGATAAAAGTAGGTTACTACACATTCACGGCGATTATAGCGCCACACCTTCCATCGTATAAAACACCGTACATATTATTCTATGCTTTATGCTGTGTTTCTTCTCATTGTCATCCCGAAGAAACGAAACAAGTGTTGTCATTTAGGGTTTCACAAGTATTTCAGGTGGTTTGACATATGCCATCCAAAAACGTTTTCGGAAGTAAATTACAACATTATTTAGTGAAAGCAAATCCTTCCCTAGCTGGTCTGTTCTCTAAACCTTATGCTTAAGGGACAGATCAGTTTGTAGTTCGCTAGCGTAGATGATCTATGTCGAATGATTGGGGGCCTAAGAGAGTCAGACGGGACGATCCAGATAACCTCGAAGTCACACCTCGCTGTCAGCACCTTAGGTCGATTGCCCCATCGACGTACCAAGGTACTGTAGATGCTTTGAAAAATTTGCAGCACAAAGGACGTTATTACAAGAATATATAGTTAAAGTAGATACAAGTGAAAGTAAGACCACCACCCCATGGGACAGTCCATGGCGAACGAATAACTAATGCGAGATGGTTGTCTTTAACCTTGACAGAGATCAATGATCTGTTCGATATTCGGCGACTCAACTGCCGGATGATTTGACTAGTTCTTAATGACATTTCACTGGCCCTACAGGTTTTTTGGACATTCAGCTATAGACAGAGTTTGGATTAGTTATAAAATTCACCACTGTAGTATTGAGAAAACATTTTGGATTTCTGCCCAAATCTAAATCTAAAATTTCCATATTCACTAATTCATGAAGTAAAATTAGCTAGATCAGTTCAAAACATACTCTATTAGTCGATGATGGCCTAGGGAAAAAAATACTAAAAGCTCCCTAAACTTTGGAGGTGATTTGGTTTCCGAATTAGAATAATCTAAATTGTTGACTGAATAATAAAATCTCTCTGAAAATTATCCATTCAATCTAAATGTTGAGGATTATGGGTTTAATGTGTGAGAACAAAGTTTCAACTTGCTAAAATACTACTCAGAATGTATAGGTAGCTAATGCAAGTTTACTAAAATCATTGGTAACTCTTCATTTTCAATAGTCAATCGAACACAGAACCTTCGGTCTCGCGCGCGAACCCCTAAACTTAATAGTGAACTCACACTAATCAGCTCATGATCTCAATTAGAAAGTCAACAATCTCCACAATCCTACGTTGATCGTTCATAAAAGTTAAGGTGGAATCAGTAAAAAAGGTTTCTACAACTGATTAATCACTGATTGTTGAGCTGCGTTATACTTTTCTGGTCCTATAATGCTGAAGAGTTGGCTTTAACCAAGCTAACTGAAGAATGACGATTGTACGAAAATCGAGTCCAGAGTCTCTGATCTGCTAATTTCGTTCATCTGTCATCAAAACATTTTGGATAACATATAGAGTTGTGGTGTGTGCTACTGATGTCGACAGATATAATTAGTATATGTCATCAACCGAAAGTGAAATATCTGGCGACAGAAGGTTAAGAAGATTGAAGAAAAAAGAATGAGAACAGAGAGTGATTGCGGAGAAAATGAAAAAAAACAGTCAAGTTTCAGACAATTGACTGATATTTTGCAAATTAATTATTTACTGTAAGGTTCACAAATTTTACTAATATGTTCTGTAACTGTGCATGCATATACATTCGATTGTCCCCACTTGTGTCGTCATTCACTAATCTACTCCTATTTCTTTTTTTTTTCTGTATAAACCCAAACGAAATAATGATGATACAAAAATAGATCTCCAAGACTTACTATGCACACGTTTATTAACGAATAACAATAGAGAACAGAACAAGAAAGAAAACAAGAACAACAACAAATGAGAAAACAATTTGTTTTGATAAGGATACCAAAAAAAAATTAATATAAAATAAACACAACAAAAACTGTAGTCCAAATGCCTATACACATAAATGTTTATCAGAGCTAAATAGAAGAATATAGAGACTTGAATACAAATATACAAATGAACTAAGAAATAAGTGTGAAATGCATTTAAAATGCTTATAATGAATAAAACAATATTGTTTTTATTTTATAAAAAAAAGGTGAAGATAACGAGTATTAAAAAAAAGGGATTCATGATCATTTTGTGCCTAGTTACTAACTTTTTTATATAAAAAAATCCATATAAATACACACACATGCACACACACACGCACATATACACTCACTCACACAAACAAACACGATTATGTAAATGATTCTCATTTACTGTTAGTTAGTAACATGTATAAACAGAGGGGTTTTACAGTTTCTTATTCCCTATGACCTAGATCATGTTTTTTTTTGTCTTTTTCTTTATTCATTATGTAAGAAATGCGATAAGGTTACAAAACAAAACAACAAAAATGTCAAACGTAGACAAAAATATTTGAGCAATAAGAGGTTGTTACTATTTTTCTTTTAAAAAAAACAAAACAAAAGATCATTCAATACAAGTAAACACAAACCTTCTTTAAGTATGAAAAAAACCACCAATCAAGAGATATGAATTCAATATAAAAGCAATATGGATGATAATAAAAGTGTAAGAAAGCACTCAACTATATGCATATGTATATGTATATAGAGTTGAGAAGAAAAGCAAAACAGTGTTAGAATAGCTTTATTGTTAATATCTTAAATGCAAACAAAATATTGTTTGTTTGTTTATTTGTTTGTTTTATCCATTAATATCTAGGATTTGCATAAGATGAGCAAATGTGAACATGGAATGAAAGAAAGAAAGAAGGAAAGAAAGAAAGTATTATCTCTATATGGAATAGAAAATGACTTCAATGAAATAAAATATATCATAGTACCTTAGTTATGTAATCTATCTAACCATTATGTTTAGTTACTAACTTATAATCATTCTCTAATATTATTTATTCATCTTAATGTTATAGAATACAATTGAATAAAATCAAACAGATGAAATTAGATATTTCTACATACATATTAAAAAAGAAATTTATCAAAATAAGCGAGAGAACAAAAGACAGAGAGGGGGGGAGAAGAGCTAAAAAATTGATTTTTTATTATTTATTTATTAAAAGCATTGACAATTAAGAAAGACTGTTAATCTGAAAAACAAAAAAACTTCCCATCTCCATCTTCACCCCCCTCCACTCTCACCCTCACCTCTTCAACAAATCGAGTTCATTTTTAAATGTACTAATTCTTTCCAGTTGTTGTTTCTTTTTTCGCCATAGTTACAATAGTTTCCTATAAATATATTGGGTTGTATACAATATCTCTATGAACAGGCAAATGCATTCAATGGTAATAACTGTTTTTCTCGGTAGAAAAAAAGCAAACAAACAAAAACAATGATGAAACTTACATTAACTACTACTTACGGTGTTTTAAATAAATAAGAATAGTAGAAAGAAAGCAAAATGTAGACGAGAGATAAAAGAAAGTAAATAGATAAACACATATGCGTGCATATGTGTATGTACAAACACATACACATACACAAACAGTATTACAAAATATAAAATGAATATAGTGGAATTTTGGCATGTTTTATTTTCTGCTTCAAATGCCCTCATTTTATGTTTTGTGCCTATCTCTCGCTCTGTTGAGTGCTCATGCGCGCGATTTGTTATAAATGTCTTGATAATTCTCGGTTGAGAAGACTGAGAATTCGATAAATGCGTCGACTTTTTGTCTAAAAAAGAAGTATACAACAGTATATAACTGAAATAATTCTTAAGAAAATAATGAAACAATAGTGATTTGTAAAGGATGTTGCTGATATAACTATGTTGAATTGATAAGAAAATGGGTAATGAACTATACATCATACAATAACAATGAAACAATATGCAAATGATTTTGATATAGTTTTGTTCTCTGAACTAGATGGTTTGATCGTGGAGCTTTCATCGTTCTTCTGAACGACATCATCAGCACAAATTTCAGGTAAAAGTGAAGTGTTCAATTTCCTCCATATATGGCTCACAGTTTATCCTGTAAACCTCGACGTTGATTGGTTCTTGTTGACTTTAAACCTGTCATGACAAGCTGTGAGCCATATATGGAGAAATTTGAACATTGCACTTCTACCCGAAGTTTGTGCTGATGATGATGCTGTTCAAAAGAACAATAAAAACTCTACGACTAAACCATCCAGCTCAGAGAACAAAACTCCATCAAAATCATCTGCTTGAGCTATAAATCTTCTCCATCATCTCAAAATGTGTAGACGAAATTATAAAAAAATGCTTATTCCTATTAATTCATGTCATCAGCTAAAACATAGTTTTTATGTGTGATCCTTTATTTTCCAACAATTTCAGATAAACTGTTACTAAGTTCATGTCATAATTACCTTACTGTTACTGTTGACACTATAAAGGTTAATAACTTCACGGTCATTATTCTCAGATGATCATTTCATAACAGTTCAGGATTTTGTATACAAAAAGAGATTGTGAGGACTATAAGAGATCATTTATGAAATTATTTATGATTTTATAAAGAATTCAGATATTTGTGATTCTTCACCCGAATGTGAATGATTCCCTGTAAGATAATAAGAACAGACTACAAAGCTTCAATAATCTATAACCTACCCAAATAATCTATATTCATTAGGCTTTCGAGGGACAGGCTACAGCAACAAATATAACTACTACCATGATGTCACCTTGACTTCCTATATTGCTAATTTCTTTTTTTTTACTATGTTCATGTAATGTATGTCATGTTCTTTATTATTTATGACTGACCAATGGACTATAGAAGTGAGCATCATATATATACTAAAGATTAGAATAGGTTACCCAGAAAATACTATATCTTACAAGTAATCTAATTCAATTTTGTTGGATGAGTTTTCCTGAGATAATGATAATCTTTAATGATATTTGTCAAGCACTGACCTCAGCATAAGTACGATTAAACATCAAGAGTCAGTGGAAAGTCTCTTTCATTCAAGTATGAAACTTCTTCATAATTTCTACCTATGAACTTGTAAGAGATTGAACTTCGAAACTTTCATGAACCCATAATCATTCAAACCATTTGGTCAGTAACCATTCGTACAATTTCAGTTGCAGTCAGTTTGTGAAATAACGGGAAAATCATTTATTATCATCAATGATAACTCTTTGACCCCTGACATATTTGATTTTAGTTATATGTGAATGCATTTTCCTAGGATGTACCATACTACGATGAAACATATTTCTAGTACTCCATTTATGGTTAGTCGTAATAATGGAACAAAGGTCTATTCGTAACGAATACGACCTGGCATAATAATTCTGTTCCAATTATTAATTACATGGAAACAATTATTATAAACATATGATATTAAATAGAATTACATTAGAAACTTACTTTAATCACATACTCCTGTCCATCACATGACCCATTATCGATTTCTATTGTAAATAACCAATAATTCATATTAATCATATCAATAAATAAACATATTGTACATGATTATCTAAATGTACATACTTAACAATTCATTTGTACATGAAATAATGAGTGTATACTATGAATTAGCTTAAGTCTATAATGTTCAGTTAGAAGCTAAAGTTTAGATTCCTCAATAGTTACTATCATAGATGTTATCTTAAACGTGTAGTGGTTATGAATATTAACATGATAAACTCGTTGTAAATGGATTCAAAACACGTATTAATGTATGTAGTGTAGCAGAAATTTTTTTTAAAATATATAGGTTAGACATAATTTATAATTGACTGGTCACTAGGTAGTGATCAATTTCATGGATGTAATGTTCATTTTAGTGCAAATCGAATTCTATCGATTAGGTTGTAACGTAATCACTAGCCTGACCGTTGTTGCTACTTTGGCACGATGATCGCTCTTACCTATCGTGATGAAGCAACCGAGCTATACTGGTTGGAACAGTCGTTCCTCAAAGTCCTACCATGCCAAACAGGTCGGTTGAAGAGCGGTAAGACTGAATGCAGCAAACCCAAAGTTCGAAGGCGAAGTCGTGCTGCTGACTGTACAGAAGTGTGACGAGAGTAAGGTGTTTTCTTCAGACAACTAGAATAATATCAATGCTGTCTTCCCACAAAGGAAGGGTGAGGTTAGAAAAAGTCGACCCTAACAACGCACACCTTGCCTTATCACACGGATTCCCGTCTTCGGTGGTAAGGTTTCAACAAGTACGGAGCTAACAAGAAACTTGCTCACAAAAAGGTCATGTGTAACCGACCTCACTCAGCTGTTCCTTGGGCACATCAGTCACGCTCACAAGTCACTAAGAACACCTTAGTTCTTTGCCAGGTACCTGAAGGAGAACCTTTTTTACACGGTGTGGGTAACTGGGAAGTGATAATCGCCCTCATGCCTCAAACAGCACTCATGATCGCTGTATACATAATCGATCTCCCCTAAGTTTGAGTGACTCGACATGATATTTGGCAATTGTCAACAAGGTTAATAAGGGAGCTGATGCTTCCTGATGGATTCGATTGTATGTTACCCAGCTTAACAGTCAGAGACGTTATTGCTGAGCTATTCAGGCCGAGAACCAAATCTACCAAAGTGTTAGTTCTCTCAACATTACAGATACACCTTGCAGATGACTGCTTAGTTAAGCAGAATGCTATTAACTGAAAGTCACATTCAGTATGATTTACAGAATATTAACTGATACCATCGATCAATTTCTCGAAGTTTTTCATGGTAACTACCAACAAATATTTAAATTTCGGTACTTTATAATTCACTGAATGGTGTGAATCATAGATATGTAACAAATTCAACCATAACACTGGTTAGTATGGGTTTGAAACCCAAATGAAACATTATTTGTCTTAATATACCAGATACACCTTATTGATAAGTACCAAGAAGTGTGAAACCTTGGTTCGCAGCTTTTGTTCGGTCGAATCAACCATGACAATAGTCTATCATAATATGCCATAAACTCTACAGTATTGACGTACTAAATGGTGCTTTCAAACTTTAATCCTGTATTAGTTTCAAATATTTTTTTATTAATTCTTAGATACTTTACTCTTATGATTAGCGCTGCTTACCTTTCGCTTGTCGTTTCATTGCATATTTTGAACTCATTATCTTAGAGCTCATTTGTTCAGTCGAGTGTTTGAACTGGTTTCGTGGATTACGTCCAGTGGTATGTGAATTGGTCAAATTATTGATCAGACGTTTTTGTTTCAATTTCTCTAACCGATCCCAACTAGACAAGTCAATTAATTCATCATTCGACGTCGATGGTGATAAAATATCGGACTTTTGATTATCCACATCACTTGTACTACTATTATTATTATTAGTAGTGCCAATGGCAATGGAATCTGTAGTTACAGATGGAGATATATGTTGCGATGGAGTGGATGCCAAGTAAAGTTGTAATTCGTTAAAATGATCTTCTTCAGATGTGATCGATGGTAGTGGAGAATAAAGACTACCAAAACCAGATGAATTGGGGCTGATATCAGAAATGCTGAGTTTTGATGTGGACTGTGAAACCGATTGACTTGTCTGATGATCCCATTCAAATGAACTATCAGAACTAACAGTAGTTTTGTGCAAATTCTTTTCTGCGAATTCCAGTTCTGCAATACGTTGACGTTGTTGATAACGACGCGCATCACGTATAGGACTGGCACAACTGACAACTTCAAATTCAGTGCTACTTAATTCTTTACTGGAAAAAATAGGACAGGAAATGATTAGTAAATTATCCCACCCGTCAGCAAAGTGAAATGCTAAATTTAACATCAAAACATTTGTACAAAGAATCTTGATAAACCAATGAATACTTGTAAATGTAAACACGTTATGGAAAACCTAATGTTTATATTGATGAATAACTGAATAATAATCAATGTAATATTTGTCTAGTCCTTTAATACTGTTGATCAAATTGTAGTCAGATGGCTAGTCTAACTGATCCAACATAAAATGTATTATATTGGTTTGTTAGTTCGATGGAGGTAATCAACAGCAAACTGTGCTTGATCTGAGTTTTGGACTACCTGTGTAGGTGCACTTGCAATCTTGAGGGAAGTGATGTAAAGTGTTATATTCGTACTCATGTCACTCAACTTCACAGTCCAAAACGTTACTGCTGAGTTATTTCAGCTCCTTAAATTTAGCTAGAAAATCTAAAATTCTACAAATGTATTGATCCAATTGAACAATTTTTGTAAAATAATTGGAAACCAACTTGAACTGATGAAAATTAAAACGAAAACAAGAAGGCCCCTTATCTTCAGAACCTGATATCTCACTGAACCATGAAATATCAGAAAACAAATCTTGATCTATGATCTATACATTCACATTAGGATAAATGAGACTATATGGTGATTAATTTTCTATAATATAAAGATTATAATCAGGATAAGGATTAAGCGTTCGCGCGAGTGAACGAAGATCTTCGGTTCGAGTCTTGTGTACGGGATGCAAATTGTTGACAAGTCCCATACTAGAACAAAATATCCGTCCATTGTCCTTAAGTTTTCAATGATGGTCCAGCTGAGATCAATACATAATTTTAATTGTTAAAATATTAGGATTGGTAACTTGTTCATGTGCGCTGAAAAACAATAGGTCCCAACATACATAAAGGGAAAAGCAAGTTCATCCGATACAACACAGCATGCAACAATTGAATCACACTTGGTGGAGAAGCTTTGTATGATGTCAAAACATTTACATATTTGGGCAGCATCAATCATGAACACGATGGATCTGATGCAGACGTGAAGGCGTGGATCTGCAAAGCAAGAACAGCATCTTTACGAGTGGAGAAAATCTGGAACTCAAAACAGCTGTCTGTCAACCAATACCAACGTCAGAATTTTCAATACCAATGTCAAAACAGTTTGACTGTGTATGGGGCGGAAACCTGGAAAACCACGAAAGCCATCATCCAGAAAATTCAAGTGTTTGTTAACAGTTCTCTACACAAAATACTCTCGATCCGTTGGCCAGACACTATCAGCAACAACCTACTATGGGAGAGAACAAACGAGATTCCAGTGAAGGAAGAATTCAGGAAGAAGTGCTGGAAGTGGATAGGACACACATTGAGGAAAACAACGAACTGTGTCACAAGGCGTGCCCTCACATGGAATCCTCAAGGCTAAATAAGGGAGTCGAGGAAGACGAATGAGCACATTTTGCCGAGAAATGGAGACAGACATGAGAAGAATGAACAATAATTGGATGGAACTAGAAAGTAAGGCCGAGAACAGAGTGAGTTGGAGAATGCTGGTCGGCGGCCTATGCTCCATTGGGAGTAACAGGTGTAAGCAATTAAGTAAGTAATTTGAAAAACAAATAACCTCTCTAAAACGATTATACTCTAATAGGTTTTATCACTAGTTAATGTAAAATATATTAAATTTATAAAAACTGTTATTTTAATGACTGTAAAGGGGTTTTAAACTGATAAGGTCATTTGAATATTGCTACTATATTATTCTTATGATATGAACACTCCAAAAACACAAATGCACTTACTTAACAACCAATAATAAAACTGTTTTTATTAAAATAGAATTACATAATTATCAAACTATCTAGGAATGATTGAGATTATGAATCGATTCATGTTAGATCACCATTCGAAACATGTAGGCACTGAGACGTCGTTTCGTCCCATCAAGGAATTCCTCAGCAGTGAGCATACACGATCCCGCTTTCGGGATTCGAACCCAGGGTCTTCGGTCTCGCGCGCAAACACTTAACCTCTAAACCACTGAGCCGGCCGGCATTCAACTGCATTAATGTCTAATCTCAACCAATCCACAAAATTTCACGACCATCTTCCATTGTATTGAGATAGATACCTGTCTCTACGCGACACGGTTTAGCTCCACTGGTCACAGTTTCTCACTAGAACTCTGAGAATTCCCTCAAATAGCTAGTCACTAGGAAGCACATGGTAATTATCAATATAGGGTCGTAGAGATTATGATGTATTTGATTGAGATCATGAACCCATTGATGCTTGATAACCATTTCGCTCTGTTGAAAAGTCTCACAATAGGACAAAACGGTCATTCAGTGCTTCCATGTTTTCAATGGTTGTCTAACATCAATCTCAATCAAAAACTTAATAATTTCCACAACCTCATACTGATATATATATATGGATATTAAAGATTCATTAATAACTTACTCATTTTCATCAATTAATGTCACTGTAATATGTACATCTTTTTTCCATGTACTTGGACATTTAGAATTGAGAAAAGGAAATACTAAATGATAAATATCACAGAAATTATTAAAATCTATATCCATTACTAAATAACCATCATTCATTAATTTATATGTAACATTATTATCATTTTGTACAGCTTGTATAAAACATAATTGTTCTTGTTTTGATAATATATTTGGAATTTGTATTGGATCATTATAACTACAATAAACAAATTGGAGAAAGGGGAGAAGAATATGACAAGATGAATAACAAAGATTAAAATAAATAAGTAAACAAAGTTATCTTTCACAAGTTGAAATCATGAGTCAGTTGAAGCTAGACCACCATTGAAAACCTGGAAGCACTGGACGGCCGTTTCGTCCTAGTATGGGACTCCTCAGCAGTGCGCATCCACGACCCCGCACCACCCGGGGCTCGAACCCAGGACCTACTGGCTTCGCGCGCGAGCACTTAACCATTAGACCACTGAGGACAATGGTGTACGGTAGCGCAACTTCGTGGATTGGTTGAAGTTAGACATTAACACCGTTGGATGCCGGCTCAGTGGTCTAATGGTTAAGTGCTCGCGCGCGAAGCCAGTAGGTCCTGGGTTCGAGCCCCGGGTGGTGCGGGGTCGTGGATGCGCACTGCTGAGGAGTCCCATACTAGGACGAAACGGCCGTCCAGTGCTTCCAGGTTTTCAATGGTGGTCTAGCTTCAACTGACTCATGATTTCAACTTGTGAAATTTCTAAAATCTCCACAAAACCCATTCTGATAAAGTTATCTTTGTTATCAAATTCACTTAGTGTTATTTTACCTGTATCGTCCAATTGTTATTTAGGACTGCAATTGATCAGTCTCATGACGGCATATGTGCATCCGGTGTGGGTGGCCTCGATATAGTCTTAAGTCACAAACTTCTTAAGGAGAGATTGATAGTGGCTAGCAGTGGAATCCAAGACGCATGTTTCGTCCCATTTCGGACTCATCATCTGGATGTACCTACATCCCGAAGTATAAGCAGTACTCGGAAACATTACGGTTTGAAGATGTTATCGATAACTGCATCTCTGTGCTCATGTGATATGTGAACTCGAACTGATGTACGTACGTACGAAGTTCTACGTTGTTTCTGATTGAATGACTGACTGATACATTTTTATTATTTGAGGGATTATCACTGAACTGTTGAGGCTATTAATTATCTTCACTAGAAATAAATTTGTTTAAAATATTGATTGATCACTTATTTGTAAGTAGTGTCATTTTCTTCAAACTTTCCAACGATGACAGAACTTAATCGATCAAAAATCAACGTGTCTCAACTTTTTACACACTATCTTTATGCTAGGTAGTTTAACATGATCAAACTGTTCGTTAGACAATAATATAATCCACTTAGTATTGTTTGCTTATATTTTCTCATTGATGTTTAGGACTACAATTGTTCAGTTTCTTATTGGAATATACGCATCCTATGCAAACTACCTTGATATTGCCTTCAGTCATAAACTTTGTAAGTAAAGATGGCTAACAATGAAATCTAGGACTCACATTTCGTCCTATTAGAGACTCGTTAGCTGGATTGATGACACGATATTGTTTGAATCGAATGGTACTTTGTTTAAATCTTGGAATAAACATCAACTCTCAGATACAGGTACATTCAGCCGATCTGTATCAAATAGACTGAAACATGGATCATAGACTCTACTGCTAATCACTATTCATCTTTGTTTAATAATCTATTCAAATCATTAAAATTTCGCGTTAAAATCATTGAAACACTTAATTCATGTTTAATATTGACACGCGACCGTTGTTGCTACCTGGACGTGGGGGTCGGGCTTGCCTATCCTGATGAACCATTCAAACTATACTGGTTGGAACAACCGTTCCTCAAGGTTCTATCATGTCAGACAGGTTGGTTGAAGAGCAGTAAGACTAAAAGCAATAAATCCAAAGTCCGAAGGCGAAGTCGTACTGCTGACTGTACAAAGGCGTGACAGAAGTAAGGTGTTTTCTTCAGACAACCAGCATGACAGCGATGCTGTCTTCCCACAAGGAGGGGTGGGGTTAGAAAAGGATCCTAACAATGCACACCTCGCATTATCCCACAGGTTTCTGTCTCCGGCGATAAGGTCTCAACAAGTACGGAGCTAACACAAAAATTACCCATAAAACGGTCGTATGTGACCGACCTCACTCAGTTGTTCCTTGGGCACATCGGTCACGCTCACAAGTCACTAAGACCACATTTAATCCGATTTCATTTTCAACTACCTTCAGAAGAACCCTTCCACGATGTGGGCAAGCAGGAAGTGATAACCACCCTCATACCCCTAACAGCACTCAGGACTTAATGTTGAAATCAATGTAGAATATTTATGATCAAAAATATAAAAATAAAAAGAGTTGTGTCTGTACTTTTGTAATCAATCAATTAATCAATATATATATATATATATATATATATATATATATATATATAAATGTAAAATAATTTACCCAATAGCCGGTGTACATATTCCACCAAATATTGTAAATGGTTTAAATCTTAATTTAAATTTATGATTTTTCATTAAATCAATATCTTCTTCATTATAATGATTATCATTATCACCATGGTAATTAATTATTGTTGTTGATATATTATTTTTAAATGTATAATAATGAAATTGTATTCGTGTATCAATGACACGTCCACGAATAACAAATAATTTTTGTATACCAGTTTTAGTGATGATTGTCTAAATAAGGAAAAAAAAACTATTATATTATGTTCCTTTTTTTAGTTTTGTGTTTTGTTTTAGAACACATAAATTTAATTTAAAAAAAAACATTTTTTGAAAGAAAAACAAGAACAACGAGAACAACAGCGACAGCGTCAATAACGACAACAACGATGACAATGACAACAACAACCATGACGACAACAACAAGAAAAATATTTGAAGGAAAGAGAGAGAGGGGGGGAAGCGACACTTTTTTTTAAAACAATAGATGGCAACAATTAAAAAAAAGATCAATGTGATATTTAATAAATTTTAAATTTAAATGAGTGATTTATTGATTTTTATGATAAAATTTTTTTAGAAAAAAAATAATTTATGAGTTTAATTAAATAGTATATATGGAATATATCGGATCTTGTGAGGCGGGATCGTGGATATTAACTGTTGAGGAGTACTACAGTAGGACGAAACGGTCATTCAGTGCTTCCAAATTTTTCATAGTGGTCTACATTCAATTGACTCATGATTTTAACTATTAAAATTACTAGAATATTCATAAAAACTCCTCATATTAATCAACATATGCTCAGTAGTGACTGGATTCAAGAGACACTCCTAGAGTTCTGGTGATAAGCAATAACCGGTGGAGTTAAATCGGGTCTGTTGTAAGAAAGTAACTCAATGAAAACATTGGTGGATGTGTCTCTCAATTTTGTGGATTGGTTGAAGTTAGACATTAACACTATTGGATGCCAGCTCAGTGGTCTAGTGGTTAAGCGTTCGAGTGCGAAACCTGAGCTCGAATCTCACGAGTCGGGGTCGTGAGTGCCAAATGTTGGGGAGTTCCACAATAGGACAAAATACCCATCTACTGATTTCAAGTTTTCTATGGTGATTTAGCTTTAATTGACTTATGATCTCACTTATTGAAATTAATGTATCAACAGTGTTTTTTTGTTTCTAAAACTAATATTAATAAATGATAATGATAGATCTCTCAAAGAAAATAATGAATTGTGGTAACTGTTGGAATCTATTTATGGACTGATATTATACGTATTATTTTTTTATTGTATAATTTTTATTGTAACTAGACTATCTGCATATTCATGTTCCTGTTATTATAAGCTTCCAGTTGATTTATAGACTATTATAAGTTATACCCTGTCTACCAATTACTATCTACCTTATTCACAGACACATTTGACTGGAACTTGTACAAATGTTATTCCATATATTATGGTATAATGTGGTTTGTTTAGCTGGTATATAAACTCAGTATTTTTGATATAAATGGTTTTATATCGTGGAGGCTGAGATCGATGTTCTGGTCTCAACATGCAGAGCTAGGCAGGAAGAAGGATCAATAAAGACTCTAGATTGCTCGCATGCCTTATTGCTCCAGTCGATAATTGACTGTTCTTTAATTGTTGGTATCATTACGTTATATATTAATATGGACAAAAGGCCCACAAGTTATAATAGAAAATATGTTTAAATATATCATTTAATGACATTTTTTAAATCTATCCTTTGAATTAGATCATTTCAATTCTTTTTTTTCTGTTTCTGTTTCTATGTCTTAAGACAGTCTCAAGACTGAATAGATTGTAGTCTGTTGACTTGGCTAACAGGAGGAATTGAAATAGCATTACTTGTGATGATTCACCGTAGTTGCTTACAATTGAACTTGAATAACGTGATGACTTAGTCACGGTATATTGGTTGGAATTTTCATTTGTTTAGGTTTGAAACAGATTTATTATTTTGGTAGTACACTATTACTGTTTGCTATTGATTGCTTTCATTATCAAACGAAAATACATTTTGTGTGCTTTTTTTCTAGTTTTCTTTACTCACTCTGATCCGAACACTTCCCTAAACAAGTAAAAAACTTTTAGGCTAAACATGGACTACTACATATTAGATGGATCCACCATAGACTTCTACCATATCAAAGTAGTTTGACCGGAGAACGGTAAAGCTAAATAAAGTAACATTAAGGTCCGAGGTATAAGTCACAGTGCCAGTTGTACTGCGGTGTGATGGAAGTAATGCGTTAGCCTCAGAAAGGCAACACCCATAGCTGTAGTACTCAATCGCAGCAAAAGAACGGGGGCTAGAAGCGGTTAACTCTTGACGTAACTCACCGCACCTTACATCGTGGATTTTCGGCCATTTATAATGTGGCCTTACAAGTTCAGAGATAACCCAATGAAAACAATTTATAGAAAGACCGTGTGTAACCTGCTTCCTCGTAAATATGCGTAAACAACCTGATTCAAGTCAAAATTATTGACAATTGAATACTGACTTAGTAATTCAGAAGTATAGTTATTCATGTTATTTTGGTTCGGCATAGTGTGTGTGAGAATTAAGTGTTTAAATATAAAGTTTAAATAGATATTCAATAGTTTAGGCGCGGTTGTTTTAATCAATATCAGTTTTAGTTGACATAATATTTAAAATAATAAATCTACCACTTGAATACCTGACAATCACTTGTAATCATTTATAAAAATGTGTGAAGTGTTTTCGTTGAACAACCAATAGACCAGATATTTGAGCGTATTAGCTACTCCTAATCTCTGTAAGGGCTAACGCTTTCTTGTTGTTAGTGTTAAAGACTGTGAGTGATCAGTCTCTGTCGGTATATGAACATTCCACGCTGAGTTCATTGATCTTTCTATTTAGTCACAAGTTTTTTATAAAATCCGGATAGTGGTTAGCACGAATTTTGTTCTATTTGGAACCCATCAGCTTGACGTACATGCTTATCAAATAAAATCTATTCCGTTTGTTCAAGCTAGTAGCTATTAAGTTCATTTAACTCAATAGTTAATGAATTTACGTTTAAGGTGAAAATTACTTCATCAACATTGAGATTCAGGAACATATAGCTTTTGAATTAAAAGTAAAATGAATAGAATACCCTAGATTCAACGCCAGATACTATTTAAATTTATTGGTTAAAGTTAGACATTAACACTGTTGGATGAAGGAGAAGATTTGTAGCTCAGATGGATGATTTTGATGGTCAGTCTGTCAGCTACAACGTAGGACCAGGCACATATATGCATCGGTCCAGGTTGCCATACTGCATTAGCACAGCAAGATGAACACCGGATTCATAGGAGTGGTTAGGTCAAAAGTGGTAATATATAGGAGAAAGATTGCAATAAGGATATAGTATAGGAAGAAAGAATTGGTTCGTAGAAAGAAAGATATGAAGTGATTTTAATCTCTTAGTTTAAGGGAAGACAGGGAGTGTATACACCGACGCCATTGTAGTCGGTTCTGTGCCATGTCACCAAGAGTCTCCAACCATTGGTTACGAAAATCATTATTTTGATGGAGTTTTGTTCTCTGAACTGGATGATCTGGAAAGCTCCACGATCAAACTATCCAGCTCAGAGTACAAAACTCCATTAAAAACTGTTGGATCCCAGCCGGATCAGTATTTTAGAAGTTAAATGTACATGCGCAAGACTGATATTTCTTGGGTTCGAGTCTCACCAGGCATGATCATGGATACGCACTGCTGAAAAGTCCCATATTAGGATGAAACAGCTATCCAGTGCTTCCAAGATTTCCATGGTGGTCTAGCTTCAATTGACTCAGGAATTCAATTGTTAAATTACTTAAAAAAACCCATTGTCAATATAAAGATTAATCATAAATTGTATTAATGAAATGATTTGCTTACACAACTTACTTTAGCTACTTTACCATATTTTGAAATATCTTGATTGGTATTATCTTGATTAAGTAAAAATTTTAATTCCAACTTTCTAAATTGAAAAGAAAAAAACGAAAAACATTAACAGAGAATGAAGGAAAGAAAACCCTGATTAATTGAGCCCCCAAAAAAATTTACGTAAAGATTTGAATCGACTAACAGGGTTTACATATTTTTTAGTGAATTCTATATGTATAGAATGTTTTATTGAAGTCGTGGATCTGCAAAGTAAGAATAGCATATTAACAACTGAAGAACATCTGCAACTCAAAAAAACTGTCTGTCAACCAATACCAACGTCAGAATTTTAAATACCAATGTCAAAACAGTTTGACTGTGTATGGGGCGGAAACCTGAAAAACCACGAAAGCAATCATCCAGAAAATTCAAGTGTTTGTTAACAGTTCTCTACACAAAATACTCTCGATCCGTTGGCTAGATACTATCAGCAACAACCTACTATGGGAGAGAACAAACGAGATTCCAATGAAGGAAGAATTCAGGAAGAAGTGCTGGAAGTGGATAGGACACGCATTGAGGAAAACACCGAACTGTGTCACAAGGTGTGTCTTCACATGGAATCCTCAAGGCTAAATAAGGGAGACGAGGAAGACGAAAGAGCACATTTTGCCGATAAATGTTAGGAGAAGAATGAACAATAATTGGATGGAACTAGAAAGTAAGGCCGAGGACAGAGTGGGTTGGAGAATGCTGGTCAGCGGCCTATGCTCCACTGCGAGTAACAGGCTTAAATAAGTGAGTTACTATAAATAGAGTAAGTTAAATCGAAGGTTTAGATTTTATACGCAATTTAAATAGAAAGAATCAAAAATATAAAACCTTCAATATTTTTCTTTACCACTCCATAATGGTGAAAAGGTAATTCTCTCTGTAATTTAAAACATTTGAATATCTATCCAGTGGTATTTTACAGCTTTTCATTTTGCTGGATTTAAGATGAACGTCACTAATTTTTTTAAAAATTTTTCTGAGGAACCTCAAAGTCAATTTTTCTATTGTGATAGGCTCACTGAAGATAATGATGAAAGGTGGCTCAATTTCGTGGATTGATTGAGTTTAGACATTAACGTAGTTGGATCCCGGCTGGCTCAGTGGTATAGAGGTTAAGCGTTCGTGCGCAAAACAGAAGACCTTGGGTTCGAATCCCACTGGCGGGATCACAGATGAACATTACTGAGGAGTCTCACAGTAGGACGAAACGGCAGTTCAGAACTTTCAAGTTTTCAATGGTGGTCTAGCTTCAATTAATTCATGAACTCAACTATTTAATTACTAATAATATCTACAAAAATCCCCTTCTGATAACAATTTTACATTGTAGTTATAGTATGGAACGTTTCGATGGTACTTCGTTTTGTGAAAGAAAGATGGAAAAATAGTAGGAATGGATAGACATAATTAGAACGCGTTAATTGTTCACATCACAACCATCGATCATAATAAAGGTAAGTGAAGTTGTTCAACATTAGAATGTGTATATGTGTTAAATAAGAGGTCAAATATACAAGACTGTTAATAGTTGATTGATAATGACATTAATAAATTGGTTACACACAGAATGATCTAATGATTATGTAATGATGAGTTCAACTTATATATATAGTTTGTTAAAAATCTAATTATATAATCAGTGTTTAATCAATCTATTAGAAACTCAATATATATTTTGATATTCAGTAGTTGGATATAATAAATAGGTAGGCCCAAACCTATAATTCCTATTACTTTACACTCGTCAACGACTTCAGTTATATAATATACCCTTGTGGGTCAGGGTAATTTTACATTGGTTTTCAGGAGAACCAGACACCATCCAGACTTTTACGTGACAACCTAAACAGTACAGCTCAACCCCGTTTAACAGGAGAGGCAGATACCACCCAGGCTTAAATTTTATATACCGAGCAGAATAGCTCAATCTTGCTTCACAGGAGAATCAGACGCCGTATAGGCTACAATCTGAATAGTACAGCTCAATCCTGTGGCGCAACCATACAGGTACCAAGCACGCTGGTGGACCACGTTAACAACTTAGATCTGAAGTTTTACTTGAAACTGATCTTTCACATAAGATTTTAAATCAGAGTTACACAGTGTATTATGGTTAATGTTGTAATAATCAAGTTATTCAGTTTATTACTATTCTTTCTAAAACAAGAACAAAAAAGTATCCATTGTTCTCTAGATTTGAAAACCACTTGAAACTAATCTCTTACACCTTTATACTTATATCATATCGATCAGTTTAATCCGTATTTAATATTGGCAATGTTACTAACGTTATGGTGAACATTAACACGTTTTAGGGTCATTTATACGCTTGACCTTGAATAACTTACAGTTTTAATCAGTTAACATTTTTTTAATCACTTTTACATTCTTATCTCACAATTAATATGATAATGATCATTGATAAGTGATAATGATAATGCTTATAATGTTTGTGAACCAAGGCCATATCGGCGAAATACGCAGAGTATGCATATATGCTAATAACAGATTGATCAATTGTAGTCCTTAACATCGATAGGAATATTCAAGTAAACAATACCAAGTGAATTTAAACTTCACCCTATTGCACAAGCAAGTGATTATCAGGACTGAGTTCTTACGCCTTTTACTCCTCAAAATGGAGTATAGGCCGCTCACCAGTATTCTCCATCCAACACTGTCCTAAGCAATCCTTTCCAGTTCTTTCCAGTTGTTATATTTCCTTTGCTTATCTGATTCTATTTCTCGACGTAATGTGTTTTTTTGGCCTTCCACTTTTCCGTTTCCCTTCAGGATTTCAAGTTAGGGCTTGCCTCATGATGCAGTTTGATGATTTCTTATATGTATATCCTATTCATTTCCAACGTCTTTTCATTATTTCCACCTCAGATGGTGGTTGGCTTGTTTGGTTAAGGAAGATGACATTTAAAATATGACTATAATTCCAGTGAATAGTATTACTTATTAGTAGCCACTTAAATATTGATAACTTCTCACAAAGAAGCTTTCTTCATATTGATCTGATAGAATCTATCTAATTAACGTATACATTCTATCAACTTCATATGAATAATTCATTGGAATTATAGTCATATTTTAAATGTCATCTTCCTTAACCAAACAAGGCAACCACCAGCTGAGGTGGAAATAATGAAAAGACGTTGGAAATGAATAGGATATACATATAAGAAATCATCAAACTGCATCATGGGGCAAGCCCTAACTTGAAATCCTGAAGGGAAGCAGAAAAGAGGAAGACCAAAGAACACATTAAGTCGAGAAATAGAATCAGACATGAAAAGGATGTATAAGAAGTGGGAGGAGCTGAAAAGGATTGCTCAGGACAGTGTTGGATGGAGAATACTGGTGAGCGGCCTATGCTCATTTTTGAAGAGTAACAGGCGTAAGTAAGCAAGTAAGTATCCATTCATTACAACATAGATTGTTGTTTACCGCGAATAAGGGTTATTACATATTGATAATTTTCTCATCAGTCCCTTATTACTAACTTCCTATCCGTTTTATAAATTCTTAGATTACTCCTACACTTAATCCATATAATAGAGAAATGACATAAAGTAAGGATTGAAGCTTTACCTCAAGGTTTATTTATGTAAATAATCATTCAATCAGAGTTTAACACATACTCTGTTAATTTTCTAGAAAGTTTCGTAGGAAATTCTGTTTGAATGATATGGTCACAACTTTCTTCTGACTTATGAATAACTTATTGAAGAATTCCTCTGAAATTCAACACATATTGAACTACGAATTGATGCATTCATACTTTCATAGTCAATAAAACTTCAACAGTTCTTCATATGATATAAGATAATAGATGTTGTTATGTTATCACCTATGTATGTTTAAGGATTTACAGAACTTAGCAATGAAGTTAAACGATATAAACATTCATGATTTACAATTTGAGACAAAACTGAAAGCTCTCTGCCCCCTACCTACTTTTTTTATAATTTACAGTTATGAGTTACATCATATTGGGAAAATTAAATCAAATTCGTAACCATTAAGAAACTTTCAATAAAGATCTGACCTATAAGATGGTGGAGAAGATGATTTTTATAAAGTTTTGTTCTCTAAGCTAGATGATTTGGTTAACATCAAAGTCTACAAAACAAACTATGAACTATATATTAGAGAAATTCGAACATTTCACTTCTACTTGAAGTTTGTACTGATTTTATCATTCAGAAGAACAATGAAAACTCCACAATGAAACCATTCAGCTTACAGAATAAAACTTTATCTAAATATGAATAGATCACTAGAACTCAAACACACTAAGATAAAGAAAGATAAAGAAATCAAGACAGAGTGAGTGAATGAGAGAGAGAGAGAGATAGAGGATAAGATTAATAATAATTTATAGTAGAATATAAAAGTATTATACAATTTGTAATAAACTGAAATCTACCATTTATTACCCCCTCCCTCAATCTCACCCCACCCCCTATAAAAATTTAATATATTTTTTTTAATGATCTATTTATTTACAAATAAAATAATCAATACGCATAATCTAGATATTTTGGTTAAAATTTTATTGATCATTAAAATGTAATTTGGATCAATAAAATCAATACTAATAATAGTAATATTTATTGATTATTATTAGTATTATTGATTATTATAACAATATTGATAATAAGTATGTGAATTATGTTATTATGTAAACAACTTTAAATGATTTACGCTTACTGATTATGTATATATGAATAAAGTCAATTAACTATAAAGTCATTTACCCATAATTAAACTATGCATAAACAATAAACACTTAAATATATACAACTTTTAATGACTTAATGATGATATAATATGAAAAATAGATATATAATATACCGTTGTGGGTCGGGGTAATTATATATTTGGTTTCCAGGAGAACCAGACACTACCCAGGCTTAAATTTCATAACCCGAGCAGTATAGCTCAATCCCATTTCATAGAAGATCCAGACATCATATAAATAGGCTTAAGCATTATCATCTGAATAATACAGCTTAATCCTGTGGCTCAACCACACAGATATCAAGCACCCTGGTGAACCATTCACATATACATTCATATACACATTCATTTCACATGTATAGTTATTCGGATCAATGATCGAGTGAATCAATGATGCATAGCATGAACGGACCAAAATTGAACTATTTCGCTTGTCGAACCGTCGAAAATATCTATAGCAACTCACGTGGAATTGAGTTTGTTCACATTCAATTCGATTAAACCCTTTTGTTAACTTATTTAACAGATAGAGTCATTCGTACAATAACAACTTATCTTATATCGTTGTACCTTTATTATTGTTGCGAATGTATGAACATGTATGCTTGGGCATTGCTTACTGCCTACGCATTTATTCACGCTGCTATCCTTACTACTAACCGTTAAATTGATTCGATGATTCATTCATTCATTTTACTATGTATATATATGTCCATGTTATTCATATTCGCTGCTCTATCTCGCCTAATTGTACTCGCTTACTCGTACTCATATTCAATGAATTCCTCGCTCGCTTACCTGCTTGCCACTCGGCACAACTCTTTCATGCTTGTTTAACGCACCTGTAAATGTGGATATCTGTGTGTGGTCCCATAATAAACGTAATCAATATTTCGTATTCGCCTTCTGTTTAATATACCGTTGAGACGTTATCTATTGACGGTTGTCAATACGAACTCTATACAAAGTTTAAGGATTATATGAAATACCGAGCACTACATATCAATGGTGAACCTTCAATCTTATATAAGACCATCAGTTCTACAATAACAATATTATGAAAATGTTACATACCCTTTTGATAACTTTGAATTGATTTGTTTACTTTCTTGTATTTTGTTTACATTATTATTATTATTATTATCATTGATTTGATCATTGATTTGTATTGTAGAACATTTAGAATGAGTATTTTCATATGGATAATTAGATTGTAAAATTGAATTCATTCGATGTATATCATTATAATGATTATATGAAATAGATTGATTTGAATCTATTATATTATTATAATTATTATTATTATTATTAAATATTGATGATAAAAATGAAGAAGATTTTGAATATTTTGATATAGTTGAAATAGAATTATCTTTCATTTTATTCATAGAAGATAAATCATTTTCATTATGATAAATATCAAATAATAATTCTTTAATATCATGAAATGTTTGTTGTTTAGTTAAATTCAAATTTGATTTTATATAAGATGAAGACATTGAATTGATTGGTGTCTAAAAAATAAAGTATAAATGTAATCAATAATATTTGATCTTGGTGGAGTTTTGTTCTCTGGGCTGGATGGTTTGGTCGTGGAGCTTTCATCGTTCTTCTGAACGACATCATCAGCACAAACTTCAGCACAAACTTCTATCTGATGTCGTTCAGAAAAACGATGAAAGCTCCACGACCAAACCATCCAGCTCAGAGAACAAAACTCCACCAAAATCATCCACCTGAGCTACAAATTTTCTCCACCATCTCTAATATTTGATCATATATTGAAGTAGTATATAAATGAGAAATAAAGAGAAATATGTAACTTGATAATGATTGAAAAGTGCTGTTACTGTAGGTGAATAAAACCGCCTAATATACACCATCAATATATAAAACTTTGGATTCAAGCCATTAGACCCTGTAGTTATCATACAATGGTCATTGTAGAGAACATTGCAACTTGGTCAATAGCATTTGATCTACACTAAGAAGGCTTTGACATACATGACATTAGACACCACACAGTGATTAATCAATTGTGAATACATTCCAGTCATACAGGGGGTCGGTCGCGCCCCAGATAGCCCAATCTTAACGTCTCTGATTGTGAAGGTAGGTAACATGGGATCGGATTCATCAGGGAGAACCAGTTTCCTCAACATTACAGGTACACCTTGCGGACGAATGCCGAGTAGCACGAAACCCGGGTTCAGGGCTTCCTGTTGACTACCTCTAAATACCATTCAACAGTATGATATTCTCCAACATATTTAGTTTATTATGTCGAAGCAATAGCTTATCTTATTATGTTTATCACGGCACTATTGAACTCTATTAGATAAGTTTCTTATAACTAACATTCGTATGCTAACAAACTACAAGAAAGCATTTCAACTCACATAACCTAATGAAGGCATTCTGTCGGCCTAATTAACAGGCATTACATAACTCATACAATACAATAACTTGATATAAGATGGTGGTTGAATGTAGTCAATAGTAAACCCTGGACCCGGGTTTCGTGCTACTTGACACTGGTCAGCAAGGTGTACCTGTACCTATTAAACTGTTTGTTTGTTTTTTCATCTAAAATGTTTAGGTCTATTCATAAAAAGGAGTTGAAGATAGATTTTCTTGGTTAATGATAATTTAGTATATGACCTGTCCTCATTTTTATTATCTTCTGGAATAAAGGACACTTCAACAAAGTTTATAAGCTTACAACCAATCACCTGTTTATCGACTACTTATTTTCTCATGAAATCAGAAATTAGTGGAACTTTTTATATATAGTTTAGGCTCCATCTATCAATACATTCAACAACAACAAAAATACAACGTTGAATCAACTGAAAGACCATCATATCCAGGAATACCACAGATTATGCAGCTTCCTATTCTTCTCAAACTGAAACTGAAATTAACATTATTCATTGAATGTTTCCAATCAAAATCATGCTTTGATTGAATTCTGTTAACAATAAATTAGTTGAAAGATGCAAGTACTCAATAGTTTAAAAAGAAAGTATTTTTATATAAATAGTTACTAACTAATTATAGTAATTTAATAGTTGAATTCATGAGTTAATTAAAGCTAGACCACTATGATAAACCTGGAAGCACTGGATGGCCGTTTCATCCTACTGTAGGTCTCCTTATCAATGCGAACCTACGATCCCATCTCGCGGTATTCGAACCCAAAACCTATCAGTGGTTAACCTTTTGTCATTTTAAATGATATTCATTAAGATAAAAGATGAGAAATACATATCCGATTACATCATTAGTTAATATTTTAGTCTAATAATCAACTTACTTGTAATTCAGATGAAAAATAATTATCAGTACCAATTTTTTTCATTATTGACATGGTTACATCATTAATATTCGTATTGGTTGTTGAATTTATACAACCATTTCCATGTAAATGTTGATTCTGTTGATTATTAGATAGATGAGAATTGAAATAATGAATATCATTGTATTGTTGTTGTTGTTGTTGTTCTTGTTGACGATGATGATGATGTATAGTATGATTTGACTGGTATTGTTGTTGTTGGTGCTGGTGTTGTTGTCGAGATTGTCTATTTATCTCTTGACATTGTTCTCCCCCTTCTAACAAATAATTATGATTACGTAATTCAATTGGAGATAAATCATAATCTAAAAAGTTAGAAATGCATGGTGTTTGTAATTCGAATTCTGTTTGTAAATGATTTTGTGCCATCAATGAATTCGTTTTATTCATATTTTCTAAATCATTTATGTGTATAATTTGATCAATAGATGGATCAGTAAAAATAAACAAGAAAGTAAGTACTTGCAAAATGAATAGTTTCTCTTTTTTTAGTTTTATTTCCCCCCCCTCACACCCGGTAAATGCAAATGTATATTTATATGTTGTTATGTATCTTCTATATGAATAAAATCTGTTTCAATGTAGCAACAATAATAATGATGATGATAATATTCTAATAGAAAGACACACAAAAAATGCAGTTGGCTTTTATACATAAAAAAAAATTAATGGAATCACAATTGGGAATTATTTCTTGGACTAAAGAGATACATCTAAAGTATAAATAGAAGAAAAAAGCAAACAAAGTAAATAGGTTAATGATAAAACTAGTTTCTTTCAGATTAATAACAACAGTAATATTATTGATTTTATGAGGTGATCCATCTTTTCTTTCAAATTTCATCACAGATTGATATGAGATATGTGATTACTGTACTTACTTACTTACGCTTGTTACTCTCAGTGAAGCATAAGCCGCTAACCGGCATTCTCTAACCCATTCTGTCCTCGGCCTTACTTTCTAGTTCTATTCAATCGTCATTCATTCTTCTTATGTTTGTCTTCATTTCTTGACGTAATGTGTTCTTTAGTCTTCCACTGCTCCTTTATTTAGCCTTGAGGATTCCATGTGAAGGACTTTCCTTGTGACACAGTTGAGTGCTTTCTTCAGTGTCTGTCTTAGCCACTTCCAGTACTTCTTCCTGATTTCTTCCTCCACTGGGATCTGGTTTGTTCTCTCTCATAGTAGGTTGTTGCTGATAGTGTCTGACCAATGGGTTTAAAGTATTTTGTGTAGACAACTAACTCGCTAAAAAACGCCACTGTGATTACCAGTGTTTACGAACACAGTACTTAATAGATTATTGTTTTAGTATGGTTTATTACCACTCAGTGATATCTACACCATGATCTGACACGGAATAGAACAATAAAGTGTATATTCAAACAGTCAGTATACTGATGTAGATAAAAAAGTATTTACAACTGATTGATCACTAGGTGGAATTCAATGTCTTATGTGTTAGATCCTTCGTAGTGTAAATCGAATGCTATCGACCAAGTTGCAATATGGCCACTAGTCTAAGTGATTCGACATTGCGTGTACTATGTTGAGATAAGATGGTGTTTGGAAGTAATCAACAGGAAACCCTGTTGATTATTAGAATTATACCACAAGAATATATAGATAATATTAGTCCATTAATAGGTCTCAGACGTTACTCGTAATTTAATCTTCACTAGGATATAACAATATCAAACCATCAATGTTGCAAAAATACAATCCCAATATTTAAATACAGAGTCATATACACAAATGTAGATTACACATTCTATGCGTAAGATTTTAACTAATCAAATCTTTTAACGAATGATATTAAACATGGAGTTTTTTTCTATAGTAAGACAATACAAATAAACTCCGCCTGGAAATCCTCCGGGGGCTACTGCCGATCCCAAAACCGGATAAAGGAGGAGGGTTAGACATGCGGTTAGCGACCCCATCCCGTAGAAAACTATCTCGCTAAAAAAAAGCTAACCAGAAAAAAATGTTCAAACCTTTAAAACTCTGCCCTGGAAGTCAGAAGGTCTTCATTTAGAAGATTTATGACGCCTCATGATGAATGCCGAGTTCCTTCGGAAGTCATGAGGCCGATGCCCCTTCTGACAACTAGAGCAACCATTTATTTAGGTACATGAAAATCCCAGGACAGAGTGGGTTGGAGAATGCTGGTCGGCGGCCTATGCTTCATTAGGAGTAAGTACAACACAAATAAGTTGCAATCAGATTTATAAGTGATCATTATGATCCTTATTTCAGTCAATAATAATTATCGACTATTAATGCATTATGTAACATAATGAAATATTATTTCATAATCATTTTTAAAAAAATTAGTTTCCATATAAACGTTCTTATTTATCAAAACTAGACAATAATTAACTAATCTATATACTTTAATAGTTGAACTCATGAGTTAATTAAAACTAGACTATCATGGAAAATATGGAAGCACTAGATAGTCATTTCATCTTAGTATGAGACTGTTCAACAGTACATATACACGATCCCTCTCTCGAGATTGGGACCTAAGACCTGTCGGTATCATACACTAACACTTAACCTCTAGGTCACTATATTATCCAAAAAATTCCTTTCTGATAATAATCTATTTAAATTATTTTTTACTCAAATCACGAATTAATCTAAATTTGACGAATATTGAACACCTAGAACCATTAACCGGCTCAGCTACTCAACGGTGAACATTCAACATGTTACATTCAGGATTTCAATGAAATCCGACTATCGACATAAATCTCATATTTACAAACCATTATTTGCAGATTTATCTTCTAGAGTTCAAGGCAGGTTTGTGTAAGTGAAACCACAATGTCCGTACGACATTAGCGTTTTATAAGCGAGTTAGTTTTCTACGGGATGGGGTTGCTAACCGTATACTCAACACTCCTTCTTTATCTGGGCTTGGGACTGGTAGTAGGCCAAGAGGGGCACCAGGCGGATTCTTTTTCTGGTTACCACAATATTATCATACTTTTATTCAAAAGTAAAAACTAAATAAGAAACGATAAACATATTTATATTGATCAATTCAACTTGTCTATTATCAAATCAGAACAAATAGTATTACGTTCATCACTATTATTCTTTATCTCTTAATTATTCATTGTAAACTAACTCATTTAATATGATCTCAAATGGTAGTAATCGAGTTAATGATTTTCAATAAATATATATTTAATCATTATCGATTTGACAAGAGATATATACTTGAAAAATCTCATGAAGAGCAAATATGTTGTTGTCAATATACTAAGAGAGAACTATCAAATAAGTTGAATGGTGTTAAAAAGAATACCTATCGTTTTGATTGATATCATTTTGGGAACTACTCAGTTACATATAACCACGAATAATATGACTAACACATTTCAAAATTCAACTTGAGTACGGTAACATTTAAGCATTAAGCTGAACTTCCATAGTTCACAACTACAATATAGATAGATACTAATTGAATCTATGTGCAACTAACTCATTTACAATATGATTGACTTTATATTTTCTATCTGAGGAAGTTCAAGAAAGCTGGTCACTGATGAGTACACATGATTATTACTCATGTAAATTTATGAAAATTGGACGTGTTCAAATTGTTTGATTTCCACTTAGTGGTCTAAATATATCGATGTTCCTTGAATCAAGACCAAAGGAAAAGAGGAAGACTATAGAACATATTACACCGAGAAAATGGAAACAGATATGTGAAAAAGGAACAAAAATTGGATAGAACTGGAAATAAAGGCCCAGGATAGAGTGGGTTGTAGAATGCTGGTTGGCGGTCTATGCTCCATTGGGAGTAACAGGCATAAGTAATTAAGTCCACGAATCTTAGTCTCTGAATCGCAACCTAACATTGACCTATGAACATGTATTACTTAATAGCTTCAAGCTGGACTAAAAGAGTCAAGTGGTACTTCATGGTTTTTAAAAAATTCTCTAATTGATTTAAGTCAATCACTAAGACTATCTTTAATATACATTTGAATTCTATCTTCAATTTATCCATTCGTTTCATTTCATTTTTGGATAATTTACTAGACATTTTTTTCTTAATGCAAATTTTAAACTCACCTACTACTCATACATTCACATAATCTCTAATTCTATGCTTCAAATCAATTTCCCACTTTTAGTTTCTCAATTCAACCGGACTCGAAATTGGTTCATTCGATAGTCATTACTTATTATTCACAATGAGAAGTCAATATAATGCGATGAAACCGTTCAATGAAAAGAGATCTTGCACAGAGTAGTTTAATTTATGGGTTTTACTAGTTACAAATTGATTTTATTCAAAGCACTTTAGCTCGTCTATAGTTACCACCGGTCCCAAGCCCGTGTAAATGAGGAGGGTTAAGCATGGAGTCGGGTCAAATCGCATATATAGATACAGACGTCCCTATTAGAGCTTCTATGATTAACATAATCAATGAATCGATACTTTCAGAGTAAAATGACTCACAATCTATTACGATGTCTCGAGTATATTGACCTATCGTTCCTGATGCTAAATACGATATTGAAATGCATAAATTAACACTAACTACCTCTAATGATATAGAATTGAACAAAATGGTTTAGTAATATTAGTGAGTCAATAAGCACTATCAGTATAAACTGGACTCTAATCAATATATTTAGTTCAACATATAAGACTAATATTCATTTAATAACTTAGTCACTTCTACATTCAGTCAACATCATATTTACTAACATATACTGTAGTTATAGTGTATATATTTTGAAATAATGATCTTGAATTAGATCACATTTATAAATACCATCCAGTACTTAATCAATAAGTTCATTATTGGATTTATTTACCAAAACCTCCTCTTTTACCAGGGATTGGGAAAAGCAGTAACTCTAGAAGAGCTACAAGCGTCAACTAATGTCAGAGTCATAATCTTCAACACGAACGTCAAGATAGTTCTACTGTATAGAGCTGAAACTTGGAGAACTACTACAACCATCATCAAAATGGTAAAAGTATTTATAAATAGTTGTCTGCGCACGATACTCAGCATCGATTGCACAGGCATCATCGGAAACAGACTACTGTTGGAGAAGATAAACCGGCTTCCAGCTGACCATGAGATTAGGAATAGACAATGGAAGTGGATAGGATATACATGTGGGAAATCACCAGGTAATCGCTAAATTGGAATCCTGAAGGGAATCGGAAAAAAGGAATGCCGAAGAACATATTACGCCGATAAATAGAAGCAGGTATGAAAAGGGTGAATAGCAACTGGAAAGAATTGGAAAGGATCTCCCAGAACAGTGTTGGTGGGCGGCCTATGCTCCTCCATGAGAGGTAACAGGCGTAAGTACGTAAGTAATTGAGCAAGTCTTTCTTGATAATTGTTGTTCTCGTCGTAAAATAAGAGAGGAAGTTAGGTATTAGACGTCGATTTAAGTTGTTCACTTTCATACTAGATTAGACATACTTACCATAAGGGATTTATGGAGGGCTTTTTTTATTTCATAGTTAACAATATGAACTTATCTTAGTTAATCAACCAAAGAAAATAATAAAGTATTACAAATCTAAAATATCATCATAGAACCTCAATGGTAATTAATCATGCGCTCATTAGTGACTATCTTCAAGAAGTAATTCTAGGGATTTAGGGAGAAGCAATGACCACTAGAGTTCAACATTGTCGAGTGTAAGGCAGTAACACATCAATTATATTAGTAGTTATGGGGTACTACGAACTGACTGAAGTTAAACATATATATTCTTAGTTGAAATTATTAAAGATCATGAAAATCAGATATAAATTGATTTGAATTTCAATCTTAACGGTGGTATGATTCTAGCAAACTACTACCATAGTGAAGCGAGTAAAAGGTGGTCTTGTTCAGTTAATATATTAACCAAATTCAGGGCGTTTTGAATACCATGAGTAACAGTGCAAGAACACACGGGATACGTTTCTCTCCACTGAGATAAAAAAAAGTGTCATTGCTTCACTGGTCTGTGTCAAGATCTTATTTGAGTGCGTTGATCACGTCAAAAACCCTGGCTGATGAAATCGTAGCACGGATAGAAATAGCTCATTGAAATTTTTAGTAGTTCCTCCATGTGTGACATAGGTGGCATATAAGCCACCCTGCAAAATGGTCAGTATACTGTGTAACAAATGACGCTGTATTGATTTTTGGCTGTTAAAGTGAATGACATGATATGTTGAAAATATTCACTCATAGAGATCAACTGAGCACTGCATATAAGTGATCGAATCACGGCGTTTGTAATTCTATCGTTTGGTATAGGGTTCCAGGAAGAGTTGTGAAATAGGCTAGTGAGCCCGTGAATTTTCATCACGTAGGATGTCTGAGATATATATTCTATCAAACCGAATCCTCCCGTGACACGTACTATCGGTTAGCACAAAGGTACTTTGGAAAAGAAAAACAACAATCGTTATTTTAGTTTTATTCAAAATCGATAATTTCAGGAAGAGACAACTTATTTTAGTTTGACTATGTGCAGTCTTATTCAAACTTGTTCCTAAACCAGCAAACAAAGCTGATGCAAGTAGATGGTAGTTCCTTACTTTATTTCTTACTTACGTCTGTTACCCCTCATGGAGTATCGTAGGCCGCTTAACAGTATATGTGGTTGTTAGCTTTACATAATATATGTCTCAATCACTTTGATCAATGAAGATTCACCACCTTATCAATCGATTTATTATCTCTACTCAGAACTCTGTGTCTAACTTCAGGATTTCTCTCTTATTGGTCCCAACTTACTATAGTATATAAAATGTACAATAATGAAGGGATCTGTACCAAGACAAAATAACTGTTCAGTACACCTTAATAACTAATGACTCGTCAATCGATATCAGTCTATGGTAGAAGGTTATCTTCATTTTGAACTAATCTTAACAATATATTCAAATGAATAATTCAGTTATCAATGAAAAAACTTCTGTTCTGATGCAATCTTCTCAAAAAACAAATTTTTCTAACTTGCAATTCATAGGTCAATGTATCTACTCTATAATAAATATTTTTTCTCTCCTTCGTGTTACACACATTACTCGTATGATATCAAAAATTGACAAAAACTATGAACGAAAATTTAATGAACAAATTCACGATTCAAAAAGTGTTTTAACACAATTAGGATATATTATTATTATGATTAACGGCTCGGAGAGTGACGGTCCCAGATCTGTACCGATGTAACTTCTTCACGCCCCCGGTAGCTTGAGCGCTTTAGCGTGCAGCCTTGGTGGCCAGTTGCTTTCGAGGTGCCTTACCTCTGGTTGATTTACGAGCAGTCTTCTTGGTTCGTGCCATTCCGAAACATCGAGACAATCTTTATTATCATAACATTACTTACTCCTAAATAATTCTATACCATAGTGGAGCTTTTCTCTTATTTTTTAATGATACTATAAGTAGTATGAATCAGTGCAGAAAAAACTGGCCTCTATTTTTATTTATTTATTTATTTGAACACATAGATATTGGTACAACGGAGCACGAGATACATATGAGCCACATAAATCTCATTTGAAATGTGTGAGGGCTGTGATACTGCACGGGTGCCCAAACCGAACCAGGTGGTTTTCTTAAGGGACCACACTCGGAACATTCGACCTGAAGGTCGTAAGGAGATGCAGTCCTATGGTAGCCGGTGACCAACGATTGGTTCATACGCCATTTGTTCACTCAGGATACTGGAGTACATGTGCACCAATGGTTTGGAATCAGGGTTTTCCAACTCATCTAGGTGTACTCTCCGTGTCAACAAACCCGGTCGCAGAGCCGGACTTTTGCTTTTTGTCCTCTCAATTTCGTAAACAATAGTGATGCCGCGAGAAGGCAGTGAGTAGGACTTTCTTGGCAGAGGCTATATACACGTGTCTATATGAGAGCATTTCGAGAGGAAGAGTGGACTCTCCCCAATCACGACAGTACCAGGGCATTTGGGGCCTCTATTCAAATCATTTGATCATAGCAACAAAAATCACACTTATATAACCCTTAAATAAATACACAAATAGAAAAAGAAGATACTTACCTTCTCTTGTTTTTTTGTAATTTCCTCCTCGTAATTAGAACAATTTCCAGTTAATTTGACCACTACTCTTTTTATTAGTTATGTAGATAAAGAGAAGAATTTAATGAGAGAATGATAAAATATTGACTACACTCTTAATAGAGTTGAGTTTAGTTTTGTTTATTTTGAGTTGGTAACAATGTTGTTTAGTCACTTGAATTCTGTCTCTCTCTCTCTCTCTCTCTCTCTGTTTATATAAATGAATATTGTAATACTTTATAATGATTGAATGATTATAGTGAGTAATGAATAAAATAAATAACAATAAGAAGACATATTTTATTTAATCGTTAATTATTTAGTTCATTTCAATTTGTGCTCTTGTAATTTCTTAGTTGGTGTTGTTGTTACTGTGCTTCGTTGTTGTGGTTATGGTTGTTCTAATGATTTTTTTTTCAAGAATAATAATAATAATATTCAGTAGTGTTTTATCGATTGAGTAATTGCAATAATATGTTTATATTATTATTAGTAGTATTATTAATATTGCTGAGACAATACATCCCTTTATTTGTGTGTACATTCAAATCTATATAACTGCACAATATCTAGTGTGTATGTGTGTGTTTGTATGCACATGGTGTTCACGTGTGATTGTTAAAGGTAAGATTTTAACACAATCTTGTGTGTGTTTGTGTGTCGGTACATAGGAACCTACTAGTTACCATCCAACATTTACTCCGTCTGCCTGTCAGTCTATCTATCTATTCAATTTTTAAAATTAAATATTAGACATGTAATATATATATATATATATATGATCATGGTTAATCATTAATAGAATGATAGTTTCTCTGTGCAAATTATATATACCCTTTTAGTTAATGTCTCTCAATAAATTTATTACTATGATTAGTTTATACAACAATATTGACAATCAGTAGAGTAAAGTTTGTTATGTTTTTATTGTGTAAATGATAAAATAAATTACTGATACACCCCTGTGTTTAAGTGTATACGTATATTTTGTTTGTGTACAGTGTAATACAAGCATATTGATAAGTCATTATCATTAAAATGGTTATTTTATATTATGTGCTTTTAAAATGAGGATAAACTCTACGTTGTCAAGTTATCTAAGTATATCGTAGTCAGTTATCATAATAATTTCAATGGTTGAAATCATAAGTCAATTGAAACTAGAGCATCATGGGAAATATGGAAGCGCTGGATGGATGTATCGTCCTAATATGAAACTCATCAGTAGTACGCATCCACGATCCCACCACACGAGATTCGAACTCAGGACCTATCAGTCTTGCGCTCGAACGCTTGAACACTAGACCACTGAGCTGGCGTCCAGCGGTGTTAATGTCTAACTCCAACTAATCCACGAAGTTGAGTGACACATATACCATTGTCTTCAATGAGTTACTATCACACAACAGACCCGGTTGAACTCCACTGGTCCTTGCTTCTCACTAGAAGTTCAGGAATTACCTCTTGAAGCTAGTCACTAGTGAGAATATGTTGATGAATATCATAAGTGTTTTTGTAGATATCATAGTAATTTCAATGGTTGAGATTATAAGTCAATTGAAGCTAGACCATCATGGAAAACCTGGAAGTACTGGACGACCGTTTCGTCCTATTGTGGAACTCATCAACAATCTGCATTTTTAACATTTTCGTTTATTTAATCATTCAATTATAGATAATTTGGAACGATTTCTATTACAGAATTAACTGTAGTCAACGTTGTAATTTTTTCGCATCATGATTAAATGTGCAATACTTGAATCGTTCGTATCATGATAGAGAGGTATTTTTGTCGTAGTAAACTTTACATTTTTTGATATAAGCCAATATAAATAACAGAACGAAACATGCTCTCTATCATGGTTTGCGATAATGCAACTTAATAATTTGTGATTATTTTGGATAAAATCTGTCTTGAAAGGAATAGCGGTTTCATCAAATTTTTTCTTCATACCAGTCAATTTTCTTTCATTCACCATTCATCCAGCGAATATTAGTCAAATTTCGTTTTCAGTCATTCAGTTAGTCAGCTACAACATAGGATCAGGCACATATATGCATCAGTCCAAGATGCCATACTTCATTAACACAACAACATGAACACCAAATTCATACAAGTAGTTACTACAATGGCGGTAATATATATAAAACAAAAATTGCATATAAAGATATAGTACAGGAAGAAAGAATTAGTTCGTAAAAAGAAAGATATGAAACGATTTCAATCTCATAGTTTAAGGAAAGACAGAGAGTGTATACACTAACGATATTGGGATCGATTCTGAGCCATGTCATGCACAGTCTTTAACCATTGGATACGATAGTCAAGTGAACCCCAACTAAGTAGTCTGCATCTACTAACATGGCTCAGACTAGAAGTTAGTGACTTGAATGACTGACGCCACATTTTGATTTGGCCGTTAGTAACTTTCTTTCAGCCGTATTTAACACTAGTCAACATTGCGCGTCGTGGTAATCGGTGTTCAGGCATACTTAACACATGGCCCGACCATCTCAGTCGATGAAGATTCACAACCTTATCAACTGATTTACCACCATTCTCTAATACCTTGTATCTAACCTCAATATTACTTACCCGGTGATCCAAACAGATGTGAGTAATATTTCTGAGATATCTGTGATCAAATATGAGTAAATTACGAATATCTTCTAGTCTTAATGACCACGTTTCGGAGCCGTAAAGTAGAACGGAACTAACTGTTGCACAGTATATTCATTTTTCAATAATACACTGAATAATTCCTCAATAAAGTATCTTACTTACCTACTTACGCCTGTTACTCCTCGTGAAGGATCATAGGCCGCTCACCAGCATTCTCCATCCAACCCTGTCCTGGGCAGAATGGTGAGGTTCCTTCTTGAACAATTTTCTGTGATTGACTGCAGTCGCTCATAGAACTGATCTTTAATGTCGTCGTTGTTATCATTGGTGGGTGCATAACATTGGATAATATTCATTAAGATCCCCTCCTTCTTTGTTTTGAATGATGCTTTGATGATTCTGGATCCGTGAGATCCCCATAATACAAGTGCATTTCGTGCTACTTTGGACAGCATAAGAGCGACTCCCTGAGTGTGTGGAGCATTTTCCTCTTCGTCACCGGAGTATAACAGCATTTCTCCCGTAGCTAGCCTTTTCTGTCCAGCTTGAGTCCAGTGGGTTTCGCTGATTCCCAGTACTGCCAAATTGTATTTCCTTATTTCCGTTGCTATTTGACTGGTCTTCCCGGTTTCCCACATTGTCCGAACGTTCCATGTACATATAAAATCTGGTTGTTAGAAAGCGCATCAACCTCGTGCTTCCGAAGGAACTCGGCTTTCACCATGAGGTGTCATATTTCTTCTAAATGATGACCTTCTAACTCCCAGGGCAGAGTTTAAATGGTTTGAATTATTTTTTCTGGTAAGCGTTTTTTTAGCGAGTTAGTTTTCTAAGGGATGGGTTCACTAACCCCATGCCCAACTCTCCTGCTTTAACCGGGCTTCGGACCGGCAGTAACTCTGGAAGAGCTACAGGCGGTGTTCAATAAAGTGTCGCTTTAATAAATAAACATGTTTGCCTAAACAGGTATATTATTCTGTTTCTTACTCATTTAATATAATGATGATCAATACTCATGTATTTTGATATTTATAATCACAAACAAGTTTTTTTCTGTCACTCGTTTACCTCTAATATCATCATTATTGCGTAATAGTATCCATGTGACATTTTTGTTCATAAGCATGATCTTTATAACTTTGATTGTATAAATCACTAAGATCAAAGGCAAAACGTACATTTAAGTTCACTATTTACACTCTGTAATACACGATCACTATAGATTACATCATTATTGATAACAACAATCAATAATCTGTTCAATTAGTATCTAGTCAACTACCTTCAGTTTTATTGTAGTGAAATTTGTATAATAAACCTATTAGATGATTGATAGTGATCAGTAAGAAACCCTGGACCTAACCTTTGTACTATTTGATACTTCTCAACTAAGCATACCTCTAATCTTTGAGAATTTTATAGCCCCTATGTCATTCCGATCCAATAATTACTAAATTGCTGGTATCTCGGTCTTACAGGAGGTTAAGTTCGGGGTGAATAACTCCTTGATTGGATCCCAGACCGTCATGCTGTGATTGGGTTGAGTTCATATCCCAAAGGAAGTATCAGTTTCCTCAGGATTGTAGATACACATTGCTGACGAATATTAAACAGTACGAAGCCTGTGTAAAGCCAAATACAAATACCTACGACATCTTAAACCTTCTTTTTATAATTGAAATATTGTAGTTTTGTAATTGATCTAAAGGTGTGTTTTTTCAGTGGTGGAGGAGGGGAGAGAGGAAAGATTGTTAAAGAATTATTATAAATTATTTTTCTATTAAAATGACTTAGAAATATAAATATTTTCACGAACAATAATCAGTTAGTCACTTAGTAACTGAATCAGTATAAGTGGGTTGATAGGTATCCGCTGATAAGAAAGTATAACAAATTAGAATAAAACACTGGTCTAATTCATTTTTCATTTTCAGTAATTTATCGGCTGATGCCTATTAATTTTAAAAAGTTACCTTTAAGAAATTGATTACTTATAATAGGCTTCTCGATCGGATCTCAATTATGAATAAACTCTGATCCTCTGCATTTATTATTATAAGGGGATCAATGACGTTGTTTGTTGTCCTTCTCTCAGTTGTAGATGCGAGTAGGATTGAGGAAATAGTATAATTTGAAACCGTCTTTAAAGGGTATAGTTAAGACTTTTTTTGATAGTACAGTGTTTCAATGTTCGTATCAGATATCATCTTTCCAATCAACTTATATTGTTTGGTTATAATTCTATCTGTCTAAGATTCTTTGATATTTTTAGATGTTGGAACTGTAGAGGTAATTCACAAGGACTCCTACTTGACATAAGTTTTACTCCAGTTAGTACTTATCTACAAAGCATATCTAAAATCAAAAAGTGGGGGTGGGGTGGAAATTGTAATAATTTAATAGTTGAATTCATGAGTCAATTAAAGCTAGATCATCATGATAAAACTGAAGGTACTGGACGGCGTTTTTAAGCAAAGTTGTCTTTTATGGAGTAGGGTTGCTGATCCCATGCCCAACCCTACTCTTTTACGCGAACTTAGGACCGATAATAACCCTAGAAGAGTTACTGACGGATTTACTTATTAATCTTATATCAATAATATTCAAATGTTAAAATTGTCATCGTAGACATAGTCGGCCGTATCAGTGTATGTGATTAAATTTTGATTAAAATATTACGTTCGTCAATAAAGAATTTCTGAAAGTTTGAAATTACTATCAACTAACAATTCATCACAGAACTCATTGTTAATCACAACTGACTGATGGATACTTCTAGTCAGCGTTCAATCACACATTACTTACTTACGTACGCCTGTTATTCCTCAAAAAGAAGCA